AAATAAAACCTGATCAAGTGAGCTGGAACCCCTTCCACCATATGCAGCCCCCAGCTACTCCCCCTTTTGTCAGACCTAAAAATATGTCAACTGTGTCCTATAAGCTCCATATTTGTTATTAATGGGCCTTTTCGGCTATGCACACGCGTTAGCCGGCTCGGTCACCCCGCCCTTATATTTCCTCTCTTATTCCTTGCTTTGAAAGTTCCACCAAAATGAACCAACAAAAATATGCTTCCTTTCAAAAATTCATAACTGTATTAAAATGTGTCCTCCAAAAAATTTTAAAGCACAACTTGCTCCTTCCGATCTCTTTCTGGGCACCACTTATATTAGTCAGACTTATGATACCTTATTACTTCATGAATGATAGTCATGGATAAAGTAATAATGAAGTAAATTGAAGAACTTCTAGAAAAAAAAATTCCTTTTTTTTTTTTATCAAACAGTAAATAAAAAAAACAAAAACAAATATTGGGTTAGTAAATAAATCCTTTCGCTTTTTCTGTTTATTTTTATGTCACTATGAAACACTCCTTATGAATTTATCCCTTAGGTAGATTGTTTATCCTGTTCGTAATATGTCAACAACTATATCTGTTAACTCTTGTCGCAACTAGCTTGGTATTGTGTTTGCTATTGCATTGTGAATATCGAAAAAATATTATTCATCATCGTCATATTTTGTTGTATTATTTTTAAAAAAGGTAAGCATGCTGCAGAATCTCATAGACAAATTTGCAGTGTTTATGGGGATATGAAGTCTTAACCGAATGGACCTGTCAAAATTGGTTTGCTAAATTTCATTCAGGAAATTTTGACATCAATGATGTTGAACGGTCTGGTCACCCACATGAAATTGAAACGAGCAATGTTAAGGCCATTGTTGATCAAAATCGCTTCCAATCAGTGCGAGAGATTGCTATGGCCCTAAATGTGTCCCACACAAGCGTAGAAAATCTTTTGCACAAGCTCAGCTATGTTTTCAGGCTTAATGTTTAGGTACCTCACATGATTTTTTTTTCGAAAATCACAAAAAATGTTATAACTTCAATACGAATTTAGCTATCTACAAGAAATTACCATGAATTTAGGACCAAATAAACTACACAACATGATATCAACAGGACCTTCGTAAACAAACTACAAATGGAGGTCAAATAATATAAGCAGTTTTTGTTTATTTATTCCTTATGTAGGCTTTAAATCAAAAAAACATTCATACCGCTTTGAAGAGGAATAATTCAGCTTTCCAACGGATGTAGTAACATCGAATTTGTAGAACATCCTGAAGAATTATGAATGATCTGAAAGATGTTGTGTTCCACCAAGAAACTCCATTTCATACTGTTAGTTAATTTATTTCTTCTTTTTTAAAATTAATTATCGTTATAATTATTGTACCTACTCAAAATTAAATCCGCTTGTGCCACACCTCATTGGTCACTCGCAATAAATTATTGAGCCTTGGATGGGACCTTTTGCCTCTCCCTACCTATTCACCAGACCTAGTTCCAAGTCACTACCACTTATTCCGGTCTCTAGAGAACTCCATGAATGGGAAGCAATTTCAAAAGAAAAAGGATATCAAAAACAGCTTGAATCAGTTTTTTAACAATAAACTCCAGACATTTTAGCAACATGGTATTATGCAGTTAGTGGAAAGATGGGAAAAAGTCATATTAAATAATGGTCAATATATTGTAGATTAAAATAAATTTTATGTCTATAATACATTGAGAGTTTATTGCGAATAATATTCTTTTATAGTCATAAAATGAAGTTATTTAAACAAAAATTATGAAAACAAATAAAATTACAATGGTTAGGGATAATCCGAGTTTTAGAGAAATCGGATTCCAATAAACTGAGTTCTACTCGCAAAGTTTACAAGAAATCGGGTTTCAGATCAAATAATGAGAAAGTTTTATTCTTTTTCAAAATAATTTTTTTGGAGTCCTCTTGGAAGCATGCATATTGAAATCTTAAAAATAATTTTATCTCATTATTATATACTAGTTGGCCGGGCAAATAATTCGCAGAAAATTTGATTTAGTGAAGAAATAGCAAAACAGAATGGAAATAAATAGTTCACATTTATTATATAAGGAAGGAATTAATAGTTTTTCCTTGGTCGATTGGAATATTCCATTAAACATAATAGACAAAAATATATGTACAAATTATTTTGCTAAAACCAATTTTTAAACGCTGAGTGGAAAGATAATAAAAGCAATAAAGACAAAATAATGCCCCGATTATGGAATTTTCTAAATTATTAAAAAAAATAAAATGTAAGAACAACGAAATGTCTTTAAGAAATAATAAAGTTAATATATCAGCCAGGAAAAGAAGTGTAGTAGACTATTCTACTCCTAAATGCAATATCTTTAAGCAGGAAGACATTGTTAAGTATACCAAATCTAAAGGACTGTATCTTTGTTAATAATTGTCCGATTTTTACGATTTTTTTGTTTGTTTTGTAGGTAATTTATTAATCTTTCTAATTATCATACGTACTAGGGTAGAAAAAAATGCATACTTTTTGAGTTTTTTGCAAATTAAGTTTCTTTTCCTTCATAACTTTTTTTCCAGAAATTTCGGGGGGATAGGAGTATTTTTCGCATGTGAATGAGAACATCTTCAAAATGAGTGTTCAATCATTGGATTTGGTGAAGAATTGACGAAGTTATGGCTTACTGACAAAAAAACTCCTTTTAGAAATAATATATAGGATACTCTGTTTACCGCAGGTGATAGGTAAAAAAAAAAACGGTAACGTTAGGTAAAATTGTTCCGAAAGAGAAAATAACTTTAAAATGAAGTACTTATCCTTGTGACAGATTGTAATATTTTTCAATAAATAAGTTAAAAAAAAAATGAAGTACTATTGTGGTAGCAGTTATTGTCACTTGAGAGCGGGGTTAATAACCCCCGATAGAAGGATGAAAGAGGTTGGTAAGGATACAGGAGGAAAGAGCCAAGACCGCGGATGAGCGGGTATTTGATAGGAGCGGCGTCTTTGATCTCCTCTAGAGCTAATTGAATATTTATGACCCACCCTTAAAGGCTCCACCCCAGGAGTCAGCCTCTTTTACTTCAAGACCTTCTCGAATTTTAAGGAAAGTAATACAATGGAACATTTGTAATGGAAAAAATCTATCAATTTTTACTTTCACTAACGTATATATGTAATATATAGTAAGGGTAAGTATTGCGATCGCGAAAATTTTTGAATCTGAGCTTTCAACGGAAATACACGTTTTGAGGTACCCTCTACGTCTTCCTTTAAAGTACCTTTAATATGGTTTATTTAAAAAAAATAATCATCTGAAGTTATTCAGAGTTACGAAAAAAAGCTAAATATAATTTTTGAAAGAATTTGATAATTGAATAAAGGAGAAAAAAAAAAAATGCTTATCCAGATCGAAAATGAATTTCCAGAAATACCAGTCAGAAGGTTTACGTATAATATACCGTTGGAAAGCGAAGAATTTTAGAAAAAACAATATCTAATATAGAAAGTTGTAGAAGATAAAAGATAGTGGCGAAAACATTATAAATAATAATGTTAGAAGACTAACACTATTTAACTTGAATCACATATTTCCAAGAAAATTAAAAGAAATTTTCTTACTTCAAATAATATTTTTCTAAGATTGAAAAAAAAGTATTTAAAATCCACCGAATCAAGCCAATGCCATTGTTTAAAATACCATTTCATTGTACTTGTGTGAAAGAAGAAGTGAAATATCAAAATATTTCATGGATATGTTTATAACCTCAAATATTTTTACTATAGAGTATTAACTCTAGATAAGATAATATATTTAAATAATTAGGTATCTATCGGCCGTTTATTCCAAAAAACTATCAAGTAACCTTTTAGAAAATTAAAATAGTGAATCCCTTTGTGAAATCCCAACATCATCCACTTACAAGTAGTGTGACAACTTTTGATCTATCCATAGCAAGGCAATGGAAAATCTCGTAATTTTGTTTTAGTAAACTTTACAATGGAAAATAATAGATTAATAACTAATAGTCCTACGACCCATAATCATTTATAGGTTAAATATTCAGATATACTTTCCAACCTCTGTAGGCATATATGAACCTTTCGGTTGACAGAATGACTGCCTGCAACATTCTTTATTATTAATTTTAGTGATGTTTCTAGTGTTTTATACCTTAATTCACAGTTCTGTATTTCAACACTGCAATCACCTATTCCGGAATCAACTTACTCACTATCTGTATAGATAACTTTTTCAACTAGAAATATCACTAAAATGACATTACTATAAGATGTTGAAATTGGAGTTATTCATTCTGTCAACTGAAAGGCTCAGAGACTGAAGTTGTGGGGTTTATAAAAGTAGATGGAGTGACTAGATTTTTATTCCCTACCGTCGATATTATAAATAGACTTTTTGTAATTATAATGGCCATAATGATTCGCGATCTGTAGGCTTTAAGCTTTAGCTCCATTTAAAATGCATTTCAATCATTTTATAATAACCCAGCATTGCCACAAAATAATTTCTATTCCAAGTAGAGCGGTAAGTGAAAGTTGTGTGTTGCCCTCACGAGATTTTTTCCTAAACAAAAAAAAAAATATGTTGATTGTTTCCTGGTTTCCATTCGCAAGGAGTAAGCTCGTAGCAGACATTACACCATGGACTCCTTTTTATCAAATTATAAATACTCTCCTAAAACTTCGTAATTGGCTTTATTTTATCGTAGCCTACGACTTTATTATTTATGAAAATTCTAGAAAAGGGTTGCATAGTCAATCAGGATAACGGCAAACATTGCCAATTTAATGAATTACTGAACACCCATTTGAATCGTAAGATTGGAAAGAAGATTGGTTGGGGTGTTCAGTAAAAAAAATAAATAATTTTTATTTTTGCCGACGTTTCGGCCAAAGTTTAGGCCTTCATCAGGGCTGGTCAGACGAAAGATTCCCGTCAATAAAATAAAATTATAAAATAAAATAAAATAAAAAACTATTTATTTTCTCAACATTTTTTTTTTATTAAATCACCTCTTTCCTCAGTTCGTTTGCAAAACAGAGAAATCCGTACAAGCAATATGCTTGAAACACTGAAACAATAAATTGAAGCAATGTCATCATAAATATTATTGTTATAAATGTTTATAAATTTATAACATAGAATAAATGAGTTGTTCAGACATGAAATGGTTCAAGCCGGGTTTTGTTTTTCTTTTAAATTGGGTTAAGTGCAGAAATTAGCTCTTGAGATATTTATCAGTAGATTTGAGAAATAGACTCAAGTATAGTATATTTTAACATTACTAAAAGTAATTATATAGTATCGTTCAGAACTACAAAAATCGCCGTGTGAAAATTAAAAAAAAAAACTTTATCTTTATTTTTATTGTCTTTGTTAACTTATCTCCTTTTGAATCTTTAACTTTCAATTTTTATAACTAATTCATTAATTCAGTTGTACTATCATATTCATCTGTAACTATTCTAAAGTTTAAATTGCATTTGTTAGCTGTAGTTTTGCGATGTGTGTAGTAATTGATCAAATTGTAATATAGGGCGAAAATGACCCAGGTGGTTGAAGAACCCAAAACATTTATAAATACATTAAAAAAAACTTAAGAAAGTTCTAAATTTTTTATTAAAAAAATAAAATAAAAAATGCTTAAAAAATTAACTCCCTGTACCCCAAGCGTTCTTACATGAGATAATATATGTTACTCAATGAATGAGTTTTGAATTTATGAAAGATGAAAAAAATGTATATATAATTGTGTATATATATATATATATATATATATATATATATATACATATATTACAAAGTTAAGCCACGCCGAGCGTGGTTACTTGGTTAGGTGGCCGTCCGATTTGGGTGACCGTCCACCAGGGAAAGCCACAGTGCCCGAGACCCCCTCCCGGATTTGTGAGACCCGTCAGCCTACTAGAGGCAACTCACACCGACCGGGCGTAGGACTGAAGACTCTACTCCCGTGTACTTAAATCAGGAATCGGGATGAGGTCTAGAAGATCACGGAAGACGCGGTCAAAGATCTACAACCGCCAACCGAAAAAAAAGAATATATATATATTAGGGGCACCGGAAGTTAATGTCGTTTTCTTACATTAAATTCAAACACATAAATTTCACACTAGAGTTTTTATTTGTAGACAATAATAGAATCACCTTCATTGTAAACCAAATGAAAGGTACTTTAGAGGAAGACATGCTGAAAATTTAAGCATTGAACCCCTGTAAAGTGACATAAATCGGGGTAAGACCTCAATGATATTAAAGACCACTTAATTATACAATGATACACCGAGTTTAATAAAAATCGTTGGAGCCATTTTTGAGAAAAATGTATATAACCGTTTAAATAAAGTGTCACTTCCGGTTAGTCGATTTTAACCACAAAATTGCTGTCACATCCAAGGCATATACCTATCTTAAATACGTAATATCAGTTCCGTACGACTTTTCGTTTTTGAAATAGACTTACCACATACATAAACATACAGATCATTTTGCGGGACTTGGTTTTTTAGACTCAGAGGACCTCAAAACGTATATTTTCGTTGAAAACTCAGATTCGAAAATTTTCATGATCGCAATACATTTCCTTACTACTATATCACATATGTAGGTAAGTGAAAGTAAAAAAATCAAATAGCGCCCTTGATATTCTCCAATGCAATTTTACATCCGATTACTGTACCAGTTATAAATGGTTCCGGTTCTTTGCTGGTACCTGTTACGTTTAGTCACATATACGCATTGTCAAACTGGACACGGGCGGATCTACGGGGGAGGGAGGGGGGAGGTTGGGAAGGGGGCTTTAGGGCTGAAGCTCTCCCCCACAAAATGGTAAAATATAACCATGTTTTATGGAAAAAAAATTTAAAAAATGATCTCTTAAAGTATTATTGTTCGTGTAATTATATTTAAGAGGACTTTAATAATAACTTAAACACCATTTCATATAGGTAGTTAGTTTCTTTCTTTTTTTTTTTGAAAAAAAAAAAAAGCTTTCGGGCTGAAACCCTCCCCAAAATTAAATCCTGGATCCGCTAGTGAATCTGGATAATGTAGATGTGAGGATTACAGTGATCTCGAGAAATTGTCTAATCAGTGTATTTTAATACTTAATTATTAATGTAAAAGCAAGAGAAATCTGTTCTTATAAATTAAGCTGTTAAAAACTGCAAGGATAGAGAGGAGCTTACCAAATATCTGTTTGGATTATATAAAAAAAGGAAATTGGGGATTAACTTTTGAGTGAGAAAAGTCTTTTTCAAAAATGATAAAATAATTATTATTAATAATATATTTTTTAAGACTGACATGCATGGTATGTATATTCTGAAGGAGAAAATTTATATGCACTACTGATATTTTCATTAAGGTCATATTTCATTAAAATTTATTTTTATCAAAGGATACGAAATCTTGACTGGAACATACTACTAGATGAGACACGTAACGTAAATATCTATTGATATTTTAATTTGACATTTTATTGATATTTTAATTTAATATTTTAATTTGACATTCTATTGATACATTTATATTTCAGGAAAAAAAAAAAATGATAAGGTGTAAAGCTGTTTACCCCGTGCATTAGTACCTATTTGTTCTTTAAGACACACTCAGATCAAGAACGTCGTACTAATAGGATCATACCTAATTCATCTAATCAATACTACAATTAGTCATCTACACGGATCAGACGTGATTTGACGGGCTGACGTTCTTGATCAGATCGTGCCTGTACCGAGTGAAAGTCATGCCATTCCGCCTAGTATGAATTATCTTTCCTGTAAATATTTAAAATTGCCTTTCTTCATGCTCAATATTATCAAAACCTTAATATGCAACACGGGCGGATCTACGAGGGGAGGCTTCAGCCCGAAAGCCCCCCAAATTGTAAAATATAACCATATTTTATGGAAAAATATATTAAAAAATGATCTGTTAAAGTATTATTGTTAGTGTAATTACATTTAAAAGGACTTAAGGAATCACTTAAACACCATTTCATGTAGATAGTTAGTTTCTTTCTTTTTTTCCAAAGTAATTATCGTCATTTTTATGAAAAAAAAGCTTTCGGGCTGAAGACTTCCCCCCCCAAAATTAAATCCTGGATCCGCTAGTGATATGCAGTCCCTTTCTTTATTTTAAGGACCGTGTGTGGCGACTCGGAATTATAATGGTTTAGAATATTTTCATTGAGTTTTCCTGGCAGTGAGGGTGAACCGATTATTTTTGAAACTGAAATATCTACATTTTATTTAAGATAATTTAGATAAATGGTGTTAAATAACCAATGAATCTTATATTATTGTATCAGATGATACCTTCGTTAACTACACTTGCAACAAGTAGGTTTGGTTTAGCTGATCGTTTTAATTTTCTCAGTTCAAGAGAAATTCAAGAAGTTTTGATGCGTTATTTATTAATTATTAATACATTTTTTGACTTTTCGAGTTCTGAACAGATATCTTACTCTAAAATAAAATCAGTTGATATAAACATACGAATGCTAATGATATATGAGTGATAATAAATAATGAAATATAACTATAGTAAAAATTTTGTTAATATTTTAACCGCATTAAATAGTAATATGTTATATCTATTAGATAAGGCCATAATCCAAGAGAGTTATAAACCTATGTAAAAAAAAAAAAACCTGACAACTTTTAGATTTATGTGAAATAAATATGTATTTTTTTAAGAATAGATATTTTAATTTAATAAGTAAGTAATGATATATATTACCTATATAGCAGATGACGTACACCACGGACATTATTGCTGAAAATACTCGTACACCTGAGTCGTCTTGTCCTTCGCGCCCCTCTGGAGGACAGTAATCCAGATCCTCATCACTTTCATCTATGAATTTCTTCTCCCTCTTTTGGCAAAGAAATTCTTCTTTGGCTTCTTGTTCTCGTACCTCTTCTTCTGCCACTAAAGAGGAGCCTGGTCCCTTTCTCATGCCGTATGCCATAGTTATCGGGTTCGGTCGTAGCCGCCTATGACTTATTAATCTAGTAGTGGTAGTGGGTAGCCTGAATAACGTAGTCCTGATCGCTTCTTTTTCATCCACCAAGTCTGTGTTATTCCCATTCCCATCTTCTTCTGTTTCGTCGGTTTCCGTTTCATTATATTCCCTACGCCAATAAGATTTTTGTAACCACAGATGCTCTGGGCACCGGAGTGATATACATGCGGTACTGGAAATAAAAAAAAAAACACGAGATTAGTTAGCTAAAACGAGCTCCCTCATTACCAATAATGTTTATGGAAAACAATTTTAATTCATTGATCCACACATATTCGGGTTAATGGTGAAATTTAGGTATATATATGTATATATTTTTTTTTTCTATGTTGGTCCAAGACATCCATTGAAGTCTGCTATATATAGATATATATATATGCTAGTATCTCCTGCCATTTTCTTCTGTAAATATAACCCTTAGAGAATGTTTTGGTAACCAATCTCTTGTACTGTAAGAGAAAAATATATTTATAGGAGATTTGGGGGGGGGGCGGATAAGTAATATACGAGTTTTTTCCCTAAAATTAGTAGTTTTTACTGTTCTACTGCTACTAGGTAATGAAAGTGTTGTAATCGAGTCGAATTTTTATACTACGGTTTTCAACAGATCTTAAATTCTCACACTTCCTTAAACCGAAAATATCAGCCATTGGCTTGTCTGTGCCAAAATTATTTCATGAAGGAATGGATTGATTTGTTTACATATTTTTTGTTTCGGCTCCTGATGGTTGTATACTTGATTGATATATACAAGCGCTGTAATATAAGGTCTGCGCAAATGGACAAAAATGTGTTTTCCAATGGGTGCAGCACCATAACGGGCTCTAACGAAACATGCCTTTAGCCTTCCACTTAGAGACTTTTAATTTTATACCTGCAGTGCATTACCGAGAAAACGCAGCAAAAATAGTTTTGAAGAAAATATATATACATTTTTTTTTTGGGGCATAACTCAAAAAGTATACATTTAACGCTAAATTTTTATAATCTTAATTGAACCAGTATTAGCAGTTGTAGATAATATTCGATTTTTTGTACACGTTTCATTAAATTGCTATGATTACTAAAAAATGAAAGTATTGTAATGATGTCAGATTCTCAATGCGCAGGTTTCAACAGGCGTTTCAAATCCCTCTGACGCATATTTTAAAAAAAATTTAAATTCCCCACCAAAGTAAACAAGAAACGACTCGTTCAATTTGATACAAAGTTGAACAAAAAGTAAAACCGTTATATAGTATCAATAATTGTATTGAATTCCGTGCACTACTTTGTCTTATATATGCGCAAACGTATACGTCTATATCTCTAAAACCGTATGTTGGATTTGGCCCAAATTTGGAGGGAACTTAAGGATCAATAATCAAGTATATATATCAATTTTATCAAATTGTTTCGACTACTTTTTTAAAAAAAACTTCTGTTTTCAAATCAGGAAATGTATTATTTGAAAGAGCTATTGTTTGAAAACGGCTCTTCGATTGGAGCCAAACTTTGAGGAAATTTGCAGAATAGTATATAAATTGCTTAATATCAATTTAATTGAATTCCATTTAATAATTAAAATTAATATAAATAACTATTAACAATAGTTGGCTGTGAAATATGGAAGGCATCGATCCAATGGAATGGTGGTTAGGTTAATACAATATTTTTATGAGGTTATAATATTTTAGATTTTATTCAAAAAGTTCATTTATACTGTATTGTTTGGTCGATTCCAAAAGTTACTGACATGAGACATGCTGCCGTTAATTAGATTTCGTGTAATTTTCAGTAAATTTAAATTAATTTTTATTCTGGGCTTGTCCAGTCTGAAGAAAAATTGTATTCTCCTTAACTCCAAACAAACATAAAGTTTATACTTACTTGATATGTTTTCACATACCTATTAAGTATATATCACTACTGTTAGTGAAAAAAAGACGTATGCATTTTTTTTCTCTCACAATTGAGTTGTAGTATATGGTAGATAGTATCTGCTCTTTTCTTGATAGTTATGTGGTATACCCCCATAAACAATTTTTTTTTTTTAATGGGCACCTCCGAAACCTCTGGGAACTCCTGGAATTTGTTCCCTTGTCCTTGCCTGATGGCTGACCTGACAATGTGTCTATCGTGTTACCACACCACATACCACTGCTTAGTTGTTATGAACAATGGGCTATGGATTATGTCGCTGGTGTAGGAATAATATTCTTGAGATATTTTTTCGAATATTTATAATAAGGATACATATTTTTAGTTTAATACTTTAAAATATTTATTTGCTGTTTCAGAATAGCCAGAATTCTGTTGAGCCTTGTCGGGAATGAGAATCAAGATGAATCAATAAATAAATTATAATTAAAAAATAACTAAGATATTTTATTATTAACTAAGATATTTTATTATTATTTATAATAGACAATTTACTCATTTATCAAATAGAAAATGGATTTATTTTATCAAGTTATTTCTAGCAAAACCAAATGCGGTTTTAATATACTTTTTTTTTAGTTTAATTATAATATGGTTCCTACAGGTTGATCGAACTATTATAATGGTTGATGATTTTGATAAAAATGATTAGTTGTTTGAATGTTAGTAACTGTTCCCGGTAAATATATGTATATATAGGGTATGCTTATCATTATTTATTTTATTTGTTTAAACTTAATTTTTACATCCACCACCTGTATAATCGAACGTTGACACAATCAGTGGATTGCTTGTTAAAAATAGGAAGAAGAAAAAAAAATACTCAATGTTGTCTTTTCCCGTGGCATCTCTTTGGACAAAAGAAAGTTACAGAAGGTCTCCCGTCCAGCACTTTCTTAGTCCTTACATGGCACACACGCTGGAAGTATTTCCTACTATTAGTAGGTTGTGTCTGTGTAAATTGTCATGAATAACGTTTTTTTTATTTTATTGAGATTTACAACTGTATTACATGGAAAATACAATAAGTAAATGTGACTTTGGTAACATGAAATGTACAACATGAAGAGAAACTACCCATTGGTAGAACTCAAATTAAAGTTCTATATTAGAAGGTCCCGAGGCCATCTTCTTTTCAGTTGCCTCGGAGAATTATCAGGGATTGAGAAGGAAGCAAGGTTTGAAACGAGAGGATTCGGATGGTTCTGCAGTTTGTTATGGAAGGATAGGTATCTGGATTGGGCCAAATCGGAAACATATAGAACATTAAGATCTTTATGGATGATTTTATTTGTGACAAAGTAAGGAGCGTTGAGGATTTTAGAAGAATTTTGGATTGTAAGGATTGGATACGAGAGGAATTCGATTTTTTAGTGGAGCCCCAAAGCTCAATTCCGTAAGTCCAAATAGGTCTTATTATTGTCATATATATGAGTCGTTTGTAATTGATTGTGAGCTTAGAGCGTTTGTCTAGTAAGTGCTGCAGTAGTCAAAACGTTAGGCGGTTTCTAGTCGTTTCAGTCTGGTATGGGGGTTCCAAGTGAGTCGTTTTTCAAGGTGGAGTCCTAAGTATCGGATTTGAACAACGTCTTAGTGAGTCTATCTGTATTTGTTAACAGCATGTTTAATTCAGCATATAAGATTTTCGACATACTGAAGAGCGTGTGGTAATAAGTCCGAATTGTGTGTCTTCTTCGCTGGTCCGAAAATGTTAGAAGGGCAAGACCAAACTGGTTTAAGTAAGTACATACCAGTTCGATCCAAGATTATTCTTTTCTCTTAATTTTAATTGATTAAAGATTTTAATGTACGAACAGGATGAACATGATAAGTAGGGGAATTTTCTTTTCTTTTTTTTTTTAAATAAGTGGTATACAAAAATCATCTGTTGTTTGGTTTGTAAAAAGTGTGAAATTCGTTAAAAAGTGCATTATTAAGCAAAATACTAAATCAGCAGTGAATTTTACTTAGTGATGAACCAACTAACAAGCAATATAAATAAAAAGTGCATAAATTATGCGATCAAGGAAAAAAATATATACTTGTTTTATTGATTACGATAAAGTTAAAAAAAAAAAACCTATACCACACTACAACCCTTTGAAGGGTCTAGGGTTGAGTACTTTGTAAGGAAATACTGTTTCTTTGTCAACGGCTGTGCATGATGGTTTGATCGAGATCACGTTCAATCGGCAGGTTTTTTTTGCCTTAATTAAGGTTACCCACTTTATAGAGGCCGAGTATGCCCCCAGGAGGGTCTCTTGACCCCAGGGTCGATCCACAGCTCACGAAACAGAATAACTAATTTATCTGACATCAGCCGAGATTCGAACCTGGCACCTTGAGATCTGAAACAGCGCTCTACCACTGAGTAAACTCACTCCTCCACGATAAAGTTAAATATAATGTAAATTGCTGAAATATCTTACTTGTACAAATCAGGGATGAAGGACATTATGACTATAATTATGTAGATTATAAGCGCAACGAAAGTAAATACAGCTCCTAGTACCATCCAAAACGTACTCTCCTGAAACAGAATATAATGTATACATAGGTTTTTATGAATATAATGATTGCTGTTTGCAACTATTGATTAATGATAAAATTGATGATTTCATTGATATAAGGATGTACAAAAGATTTAAATATATTTCAACCTATCATTTATTCAGAAAAAAACTCTAGATCCGCACAGTTTTGAATCTAGCTGATTATTTTTCTCATGATCTGAATTTAGCTTTGAAAATTCTTAGTCGTAAGATATTTAATTCACACTGGAATGCTTTCATCAGCGCAGAGATCGTATGGCATAAGCTGCGCCATCACAGTTTTTGAGGCGGACAGGTTTTTACGAGGTTATGACTTTTTTTTTTGGAGAGGGCACAAATTCACTTCATGTATATATTTTTGTCGGGGTTTCAATTGAAGAGCACTTTCATAAGAATAAACAAAGGAGAAAACTACCAGTTTTATAATTTTACTTTCATTTGCACCGTTTTAAGAAGAGGAGATTAATATAATATCTTGGGAGGAGGATATTCCCATTGTCCTTGGCGAGGATGGATGTGGGGACTATTGATTTCTTTGGTCCTGTTGAATGAAGATGAGAAAATATATTAAACAAAATAACATTAATGGAAATCGCTTGGGAACGTTGACAGCAAATATTTTATTTAAAAAAAATCAATTTGGAAACAGAATCGTTTACCTCGGTTTCGTTTTGATGCTTAAAGGAAAAATCGAGTATTAACAGTTAGCAGGTGGAACTTTACTATTTCTAATATAATATAATATTATAATAATAATAACAATGCATTTATTGAAAAGATATTTTAAATATAGTGCTATCATTATACTTGGCCAGAGGCCACCAGAGGATAAATTCATCTAAGCCATATTACATCCCATTATCCTAAACAATATTAAATTATTGTTTAAGTTAACATTAATTCTAAATTGGAGCAATGATTGATTTTATTGAGTATTAATACAGTCTGCCACACTGAAGGGCATTGGTACTAGAGCTATAGAATTCATTCACACAATATGTAAATAAGGAAGGAAAATAAATATAAATAACCAAAGTAGAAAAAAAAAAAAAAGATAAAGTAATATACAATATAAATAAAGGACAGGTTCTTGCGGGCAAGAAGCGCTCCAAAAAGGGTGTTGCGTGGTCTGAGGAGAGAAAACGTAAGCACGCGGAGCTCATGAGGGGCATATGGGAGAAGAGGAGGCAGATGAAGAGGAAGCATTAACTTCATGGTATTCGCGTGGTCTTTAAGGCCTTTTCGTGAAAAAAAAAATATATATATAAATAAAATAACAGATTAAATCCGAATGGTTATAAATTAAATAGAACACAGGGGACTCTGAATCAAGCTTTGTCCCCCAAATGTGGAAGCCAAAGCAGGATTCCAGGAGATCCTAGTGCTTGCCTCCCAGCCCCGTCACTGGTATTGGAAGTCTGTGGAAACTGATGGAGGGCACTAGAGCAACAGACGCTCAGGACTTGAGTGGTGAATCTGGCCAGTGCCAGTACTCCAGTATATACATATTTACAAAGGTCGCGGGACCACTGCCGTTTTAACCTCCAAGGAGGATTGTAGGGATGGCTGGAGCTAGATAGAGATTGTGCTACAGCATTTTGATGATGAGTGAGGTTCTGGTGAAATTTGGAAAATTTATCTATTTATTCATCAGGGTTTTATAATTCTAAATTAATACTATTTTTACACTCTCAAAAATGAGTGTGTGAGAGAGTAAAATGAGAGAATGAGTAGTTTTAAAGAGTATGGGATGAATTTAATAGAAATATGCATTTATAATAATTTTCAACCTTTTGCTTCTAAAACCAGTGTAATAAACAAGCTGAATCTTTATCTTTTCAATAAATTTATTGTTTTGTTTTTTTAAAGGTATTTATTTACTTTTGTATAATCTATATAAAAATAATTGATATTCCTTACTTACGCTATATGCTCCGCAGAAGGCTAGTACGACCCCAACACCCAACACTAATATATAAGCCAATGCTAAACAGAATGGCACTGAAAAAAAAAATAATGTAAAACTATGAATAACAAACTAATCTTGGGTACTGAAGTAATGCTATTTTTTTTTAGCATATTACTAATGATTAAAAAAAAAAAGTTTAGTCCAATAATTGGAATCACCTTTTATTTATTTTTCTTTGTAAGTAGAAGGTAATCTTACTTTAGATGTATAATTGTTTGGAAATAATAAACCATTGTGGAATAATTTGCAGCGTTTTTTTTTATCATACGATATCATGTATATATTACTGAAAAGTAACTGGTGTACATATTCTCTAAAAGACCTGTATAACTAAAAAATGGCCGGAAGTGATCAATATGGAAAACGAAAATTTCAGAATACCTGAAACTTAGAGACTAACTTTTAAATTTGTTTCATATTCCAGCAATCATGAAATATTTACATTTATAAGTAATATTTTGATCATTTGAAATTTATGTAGAGATGAATTTAGTTCTTCGGCTCAAATATTGATTTTTTTATTTAAATAATCGAAAATTATTTTTTATGTACGAATCGTTGAATACAAAAGTTCGATACATCAAAAGTGAAATTTTGTACTTCAAAAAGTTCTACAAAGAAACATATGAAATAAAGATAGGTATTTCTTGGTAAGGTACAACAGCTTACTTTATTCAAGATTACTGTGTTAAATATTCAATAACAAGAAAACCCAACTATTAAAAAGCATGAAGTTAATACACTTAATAATTAATTATGAAAAAGACTTAAATTAATTTTACATCCAACGGCTTACATAATACATCAATGGTCATAACTTACCTATATGTAGTTCAAATGTTGATGACGTCACGAGGTAATAGATTATATTTACTAGTGCCGTTATTCCTAGTGCCTGAAACATAATAATGCATATATTATCAATTTCAAATTGAAACTTTAATTGATTGTTGGAGATACTTCCTGTCCGTCCAACGGCGGAACAACCCCCATTTTACAAATTACACAACCGTTCATTTAATTGTATTACTCGTTGCTCATATTGTATAACTCTAATTTACATGGATTCTTTAGTTCAGTATTACATGTATTTTTCAATGTAGAGTTAGCATGACAAAAAATAAATTTCAAGTCTTTATCCCAGCATTTTTATTTTGTTGAAATTTGAAAATAAAATACGACAGACACTAAAAGTGTTTTTATATAATAGAAAGAATAGTTTCACATTCGAATCATATTTATCGATTTTTGTAGCAATACCGAAGATACATAGCACATAACTACTTTTAATTATATATAGGAGTTCCCTGGAAGTTGGTCAGATTGACGGGTGAGAAGTGTGTACAAATGACCCCAAATGTTGAGTCTTAATATAAGGAGAAGTATCTGAAGCTTTCAAAGTTCCGAAGGGCTTACGACAGTGAGATGGGCCATCAACGATGTTCAACTTGGCTCTGGAGAAGATAATAAGAACAACATAACAGGAAAATGGAGGGGTACACGTCGGAATGAATTATAAAGTGCTTGGATGAAGTGACTGTCCTAGGAATGATCAGGAGCACATTGAAAAACTAGCTGAGACTGTGGTAAGAGAGCCAGAGCAGATCGTGAATGAAAACAAAATATATGATAATAAGCCGAAAATTCCATCCCGACAACAGTATCTCCGTAGAAGGAACATTATTTCCGAGAGTAGAAAAATTCAAATACCTTGACTCTTCAATAACCTCAATGAATGACCAACGGGCAGAAATAGACCAGCGTATAACTAACGCAAATAGAGCTGTCTTCTCCCTTACAAGGTATTGGAATCCTGAAAAATCTCAATTAATCTCAAATTAAGGATGTACAATGCTATGATAAAGCCAGTTCCAATATATGGCTATGAGGTCTGTACATTAATCAGCAGAGTATGAAAAAGTATTGAAAAATTTGAAGAAAACCCTTCGCACGATGACCGAAACGATCTGGGATTACAATACCAACACATGGGAAAGAAGGACCAATAAAGAACTGCTTACAGAAACTAGTCAATCAATATCCCATGATATGAAGGCACGTAAGTTAAGATGGGCGGAACATGTTGCTTGTAGCAATCTATCAGGAAGCCTCCACCTAACAATGAATGATTCAATAGAATGGCCAAAATGCAGATGGATAGATAGAATCAACATAGGTGCAATAGAGCTGCATGCAGAAAACTGAAAAAAAGTAGCTTTAGACAAGCAGAGATGGAGCAGGCTTGCTAAGATGGCAAAACATCCTGTTGGCATTACAGACTATGTAGATACATAGTCTGTAATGCCTACAAATATATATATATATATATATATATATATATATATATATATATATATATATATATATATATATATATATATATTCAATTTTAGTCAAGAGATTTTATTTTTCAATTCCTATACTTGAATCACATTATATATAAATGTAAATTGATAAATGCCTTTTTGGAAAAGAGAAACTATTAGGCAATATTGTTAAATATATGACCAGTAATAAATATGAGTAAATATTATTTTAGATGTCGTCTGTTTAATAAAATAAGTCACTAAGAACAGTTTTGATGAGTTGAATTTTCATGAACGTTTATGTGAATTTCGACCTTATTTATCCATAGAAAAAAATTCATTAAGTCTACTAAAATGACACAAACTCTTTCATACATCAAATAAAGTTAGTTACAAGCGCAAAATTTTCTTATTTAACAAAGGAGAATTTTAGCAAAATCTAGGTTATGAAATGTCACTTTGAGTTTTTGCAATAAACTTAGTTTCCATCACAAGTATAGGACTAAAATTAATTTGTTGTTCAATCCTCTGTTTTGTGAAAAACGTATACTGGGAAAACTATTTATAATTGGGCAACTATTTTAAATAAACATAATTGAACTGGTGTGATATATTAAAAAGTACAATTTAGTATTCTTAAATCGATTTTATGGTAAGTCGATCTTCAGATATATTTACAAAGTGATAATTGATAACGGATTCATAAATAATAAACAAATTAACATTTTCCGGAGAGCGCCTATCAAATTATTAACTATCAATAATTTTATTTTTGTTTAAAACATTTTGAGATAAAAACAATAGATAATGGATATCTAAAATAGAAGAGGAAAATGATTTAGAAAAGGGCTTTGGTCACTTATTACTTTGATGTGTATCTGAGCCATTGTAGGTTTTTTTCCGGTTTAGAACGGCTCTTATTAAGAACCGAAATGATCTGAAAGATTCCTGAATCTATAGCCGTTCTTACGATTCTCTTTCAGCTTATCAGATTACTCCATATCCTATTCCAATATTTTGATATAATAGGCCTCTGGCCTGAGACAGTAAAGAGAACACTTACAGATAGGACCATGATGGACATGACTGCTCCGGATTGGAGTGAGAAAACGCAACAGAATGTGTCTGATTTGAACCATTTCAACCAGTGCATTGTTTTTTCCGCTTCATATCTTCATAACCTCTGGTTTATGTCAATTAGCTCACTCGAGGCTCCTGCCGAGTTGATTAAAATAAATTACTTACAACGAAGCACATTTATAAACGAACTATTCATAAAAATTTTAAAAAATCCTAAGATTTATGTGCATATGTGTGATTCCAGCTGACGCTTTATTATTGGAGTTTAAAAACGTAAAATCATGAATGGGTAACTTTCGGCAGTCCATGGTCATATTCTGTGTTGGATTGTATTTGTAATTGTGCGCATTCTCAAGTATCATTAATTGACGGGATCACTGAAGAAGATAGAATTATATTAAAACAAGAAGAAAAGTAAAATAAATCAGTAATAAAAAAAATCCAACCATTTTAAGTAAAAAACATTGCGTGTTTCAAAACTGACAGCGCACCCAATACCTACTGTAACCTGGTTCAAGATTTACATTTTGTTAAAATTTACATTACATTCTTAACTTTTTATGTTTTAAGAGAGCTAAAACTCGTCCGCAAGAATGTGGTTGATTGATTCCGAGATGGGTTAATGCAATTTTTCCAAATATATTATGAATTCGAATTAATGCATTAATTCTTGCATTCGTGAGGAACCTTATTCTCTACATTGAAGATCTGTTGAAGTTATGAATTCGTTGACATTGAATAGAATTATATTCAGAGAAGTAGCAACTATATTCCACAAATTAAGTCAGACCATTGTAAGAGGGGCGCATTAGACCAAAGAGGTTTTAAAATTTAATTTTGGCAATCGTTTAGATGAGAACTGCACGAGTTACGCGTGGTTCACAATCACTTCGATCGCACTTGTTCGTGGAGTGTTAAATGCATCCGGGTTTACCCGAAAGACTGTTTTCCGCGTTTCATGAACAAGTGTGACCAAAGTGATTGTGAAACACGCGCAACCCGTGCCGTCCTCATCTAAATAATTACCTTAATTTTTCGTTTTTATTAACAATTTTTTACAACTTATTTGTTTGTCGTTCCTGAAAGCTCATGCCATTTCTTCCGATATAGCCAGTCTCCCTCTCGAAGACCTCTGGTAGCCATACCTTCTTTCACATCCTGCAACCATTTCTTCCTTGCTCGTCATCTTTTTCGCCCTTCTATCGATTGAAAGAGAATGGCAATTTTGGCCATTGGTCCTCACTCATTCTATGTAAATGGCCACACCATTTTTTTGTTTCTATGTTCGAAAGCATTGTTATTTCTTGCTGAACATTATTGAAAATATTTTTGTTGGTAACATGCTGCAGTCTGGAAATGGCACAACAGCCTCTCCAAAAGTCCGTCTCCAATGATAATAGGCTTGTCTCCTCCTTTTTGGTGATCATCCAGTTTTCAGAAGGGTATAGAGTGACGCTTTCCAAAAAGGAATGACATGGCCTTTTTTTGGTTTATACCTGCTTGTTCCATAACACAGAATTTAGTGTTCCAATTATCCGCCTTCCATTAAAATTTAATACATTCTTAAAAAAATTGTCACCCTTTTTTGATTCGTTCTTTATGGAAATCAATGATAGTTATAAAAAACATCGATTTTGTATTTCGATACCGCTAACTTTAAATAGTTCTCTTTAAATTGGCACAGAAATAAAAATGCAATAAAGATTTTAATAATCCGTTACAATATGTAGTGATTTATGTATATACATTGCAATACCTTTCCTTTATTTTTGTAATTAGTAGACTTATATTTTACTAACTTTTGTCAAAACGATTTTCTATAAGACTAACCTATGAGACTACTACTAGATAGGTTAGTTTAGTCTATATTATTATTAACCATTTTCAACTATTTTTTCTTTAAATAGTCAAGTAGGCAATAAATTGAAGAGAAAAAAAAGTGGAAGCTTCACAATTTACTTATAGAAAAAAATCTTTAAATATTTTCCAAACTTTGGTCTGAACGATTTTCAGGCTATTATTATAGCCTAGTAATTATTATATCTCCGTTTTTCTCTTGATGCCCAATATTATAAATGACAATGTCCAAATAAGCATATCTATGCTGTTTCTTTTCAATCATTACCCTTTCTACGCCCTAGAAAGGGTGACGCTATAAGTTCTTCTATAAACCAGAACTGATTGTTTGTTTTTGATCTCAAATTGAGGAAAAACGCGAAATTGAACCAGAAAATTGGAAAAATACATTAAGCGAACGAGAAAGGAAGTGCCAAAACCTCGGAAAAGATAAAAAGAACCAGTATCCATTAAATAGCTAAATGAATCTATAGTAGACAGATGAACAGAATATTTCAAGATGCTGCTAAAAGGGGGTCAATTGCAGTTTGGATGATATTAAGTGGACGATGTAGGTTTATTATGGTGAAAACCACTTTATTTTCGATTGCTACTGAAGGTGCACACTGGGACTATCTGCACTTTGAAGCAGGATATAGAGAGGTATTTTTTAAGGAAACGATTTTTTAAGGAATCTAAAAGGAAAACGAGCTTTTCTGAAAGACAATTAGATATTAGCATAATCCAAAGTGTGAGGCACTAAGCAGATAGAGGGCTATTTTTCATTTTATATGGACTTCTCTATAAGTGAAGACAGTCCCAATTTTCAACTTCTCTTCCAATGTGCGACTTGAGTTTCTCAATCCATATCACTCTGGCAATCGACAATATTTCTTATTCCAGCTTCTACGATTCTTGAGTATAATTTGTTTGGTACACTAAAACGGAATGGATCTTGATGGGTATTACATTTCCTTGTACCTCCTTTCTTGAAAAGGTAAAAAATACAGTCCTTTCATATCATTTTCTATTATACTTGTTGCACCTTCAGTAGCAATCGAAAATAAAGTGGTTTTCACCATAATAAACCTACATCGTCCACTTAATATCATCCAAACTGCAATTGATCCCCTTTTAGCAGCATCTTGAAATATTCTGTTCATCTGTCTACTATAGATTCATTTAGCTATATAATGGATACTGGTTCTTTTTATCTTTTCCGAGGTTTTGGCACTTCCTTTCTCGTTCGCTTAATGTATTTTTCCAATTTTCTGGTTCAATTTCGCGTTTTTCCTCAATTTGAGATCAAAAACAAACAATCAGTTCTGGTTTATAGAAGAACTTATAGCGTCACCCTTTCTATCTTTCTTTGTGCAGAGAGAATAATTCATTTAATATTAAAATTTCCTATTTATTTATGATATAGTCCAACTTCCGCACAAAATAAAGGAAATAAAAATTAATTTTTTAATTAGTGATATATGAGTTTTACTAAACAACCCGCCAGCTATTCATTATATATAGTTCAGATTAGGTATATATTATTTTAGTTTATAAAACAGGTATTAATATGACTCATTTCCTGGGAAGTATATACAAATTTTAATTACCTCTAAGATTCAGTAAATATACCAAACTCAGTGTTAAATTGCAAACGTTAAATAAAAAAAAAATCAAGATATTTAGCAAAGTATTTTTTAATTAAGTTTTATTATTATAATTATATCATTTTTACAATTTAGGTCTTCTTAAACGACCTACGTATAGAATAAAGGAGGTTAAATTAAAAAAAAATAATAATTTTTTTTTTAATTTTAATTTTTTTTTTACAGTTAAATTATTGCATTAATATTTGTTCGTTAATTGAATCAATATAATGTACCAAAAATGTTATAATATCACTATAACTAAGCCATTTATGGGCACTGAATGGTGTGGTAGAGGCCTGTAGGCACCCACGCCAGTACCGCTTTTTTGCCGCATAAGTGTATTTTCTACGGAACTGCTTCAAATATTTTAAAAAGTAATCAGCGTTTTAGAAAGAGAAATATATTCTCCAGATGGTTTATTTCAGCACGTTTTGCGTTATTGTGGACCGTTTAATTACAAACGACGCTTGATTCGTAACTTGAAAATTTTTTTGTTAAAAAAGTTGACTTTACTGGTGTTTTTCATAGCCTAAGCCAATTATTTTTTTATATTTCTTCATGTTTTATTATTTTATGACTATTCAGCTTTAATAAAAGACCAACTATGAGGAAATTAAGCCAAATGCTGATTCTCAGTGACCAAAAAACTAACTAAAGTCAAAGTCGTCAATCCGCCATCTTTGGACGCCATTTTGGGGCAGTGCGTTCACTTTTTTTTGTGGGAACATTGGCTTTTGTTTAATAAATTGTTACAAGGAACACAACGATATGCAATTTATAGGGATGTGGGGGCGGGGTGCACGGTAAGGGGGTCTGGTCCACAGACTATATATTGTATATTGGTATGATTGTATTTTTATGTTTTTAATTTACTTATATTTAGGTTTTTTTATTATATATATATAGTTTTTATTTATTATTATTTAGTTATTGTTTTACTTTGTTAATTTTTTTTTTTTTTTTTTGTATATACGGTGTGAATGTGATCATTTATCAATATAATTATTGTCCCTGTGACTGAATATTGTGTCTAAATAAACAAATAAAAAAAAAAAAAAGTTGTTTTAAAATCAATAGTTTAAATGAAATATAAAGAAAAACTGTAATTTGTTCTTCATGATTTATTTTATGACAAAGGACTGACTTGAGCAATTTATTGCACCGTTCTTCAGATATACTGTGTGCTTCAAATATACTGTAATCTTCTCGGTTTCATTTATTGTTGGTTAAATACATACCATAGGCGAAGAAAGTAATTATGGCGTATACGAAAAATGCTAAAAGATAAAGAATTAGAAAACAATTTGCGTAGATCTAAACCTTACTCATTTAACGCTTTAGATGTAGTTTACAAATATAGTTCCTGAAAGCAGTGCCGACCTTAGGTCGGTGCAACCGGTATTAAAATAATTAATTTTGATATATCAATAAAGCAACTTTATTAGAAAAGTATTACATGAAATATTACTTAAATATTAGTATATTACTTAAATAATATACTTAAATATTAGAACTATTAATTCAAATATTGCATAATATAAAACAGCTTCAGAAATAAATTTAATTTTTTTAGGGGGGGGAGATGTCGTAATGCTCGAGGGCGCCGAATTTCATAGGCCGGCATTGCCTAAAAGTATGTGAAGCACTTATTTAATGGAATCCAAATAGTTTACTTTATATGAACATTTAACTAAATACAAATTAAAAAAAATAATTTTAAGGGCAGAAAAAAAAACCAATTTATGAAGTTTGTCAAAACTACAATACTTCAATTATTCTTTAAGGTTCATAACCTGCACATCAACTTGCAATCAAATGACCTTTCTCACTATTGTCATATCTTGTAATATAAATCAGAACTTATCCTAGGAAATAACCAAGTTTACTTATGAAAATGAAATTCGATCATGCATTTTTTCTACGTCTGGATGTTATAAATCTATCGTATGTTTTTGGATTATTCTATACTAAAAGGATTTCCGAAATAATCTAAAAAAAAAAAACGAATTAAAATGCATGATTTTCTATCGAAATGTATTAGAAAAGCAAATATAAGACACTAAGAAATAGTAGTTAAATCTGTAATTTTACATGGAGATAATGGGATTTACTAGTACTGAAACACTACTGAAAACAGAGAGGGAGATACTAAGGTGTATCTCTGGACAAATATGGGAGATGATTACTGGCTTAAAAAGTATTAAGAATTGTAAACAAGAGTTGAAGATGTCGAAAATTAGGAAACATCAATGAAGAAAATGATATTGAAATTATTTGGTCAGATGGAAAGATTACGCCCTGAAGGTGACTCACATGTTTGGGTTGAAACTTTGGTATAAATAGAAAATTAAATAATTAAAAAAAAAAAGACTGCGTCCTGAATATTTATCACCCATAAATGTCTATACGTGTCAAGAAATAAAAAAAAAATAATTTTTTTTTCCTCTAAACACATTTTTTTTTTAACAGTCCTTCAAGGACCACTCAAACATTACTTTATGTTTTTTTAATTCCAGAGCAGTTATCGTTAGCAGTTATTATGTCCTCCAAAATTAAATCCTGGATCCGCTACTGAATTCAGCAGAATGGCTTTTGGAACTGAAATCCAACGTCCTAAATGCTCACGTTTTCTTTTCACATTACTTATGTTGTAGGGTCGATGATATTAAATCTAATGTTGGGGATCTGTGCGAATTCCTTTCGGACATCCACCATCCTGATGACCAGGCTTGGTTGTGTTTTCCTTGGGAGAGTATGTTGTTATCCTCTACTCTCTCCTTGATATTCTTATTATATTAAAAAAATCTTAAAATATTATGTATAACATGTCGGTATACCTATAATCATAAGTCCGAAAAAAATCGAGATAACTATTAGAATGCTTTTGCCTTCATTTCCCGGTGACATCAAACGTATATAGTGTCCTTTTCCTATACTCGGTGGTTGGTCATCATTTGGGTTTGGACGTTCCGTCACGGTGCCCGTTACGTTTTCCGCTGCTAATAACGAACAATTGAAGTGTTTGTTCTCTTCTGGTTTGGTTTTCGAAAACATATCTTGAAGAAAAACGTATTGGTAAGAGTTGTTGAATTCATTTGATGCGAGTTCCCGCTCAAGAACAGAATTTATTTTTTCTTCAATTTTTCTTATTTCCTTCTCGATATTTCGATATCGATCAATGTTTTCAGAGTAGATGACATAGCCCCTCCACATGGAGTCTTGAAGCCAGTGATGGTCTGGGCAGCGCATCTCCGGGCAAACATACCTGACAAAATATCCAAAGAAACAATTATTACTTGCCTTTAAAAATCATCGGGGGTGATTTTATTTTCAATAATGAATATTATAAGCTATTAATAATAAATATTTTTAATTAAAAAAAAAGACAATAGAAATCGGGAAATCCTATCCATCCTAAAGGAATGGACACTCCCGTATCCACTTTAACACCCTGGTAAATTGTTAGAGAAACTGACATCAACGAATATTTAAAGTTGGTGTAATAATTACAATTATTGTCGGATGCCTTCCACTTCCGCTCTCTCTTCCCTTAAATGAAGTTCAAGATTCCTTCATGTGTTGACTTGATCCGTTACATGAGACGAAATCCATTGGCCAGGAGTCGGATTATGTAGTGAAAGGCGTCTGCTATTGAACCAAGTTTAAATATTCATCGATATCAATTTTTTATTTTTTTATTTAGTTTACCAAGGGGTTTATTTGGATATACAAATACATTAAAAAAAAAAAAAAGTGCAAAACTTACAGCATGACCATTGATTCAGTCAAGAAAGACAATATGAAGAAAATCAAGTAGAGTACAGTACCAATCAACACTAACAGTGCCGCTACTTTTGCCAATATTCCTTTTTCCTATCCATGAAAATTTTTATTAGTTATCATTGAATGAAAATAGATTGAAATTAGACGAAAACATATTTTAAAATACATTATAATAGATTCGCTGAAAGAATAACTTTAGACCTTAAGTTGACAAACAATTGAGATCAATCGTAACATTGCTTTGTATTTTAAAGTAAAACCGCAAGTACTGTTAGTTACCCTAAGCTCTTATTCGAGCACGTTTCCTTATCTGCAAAGTGAATATCGTATTCCAGTCGGAGGATTTTGTTTTAACTTTTGGATCTTAGAAATAGATCCGCGTAATCTTTTACACCAAGAAAACTCATATTTGGTATAAAAACAAAACAAAAACAACTGGCAGTTTTTTGTTGACTGGCGTGAATGAACAAGACGCTGCCCCAGTTAAACAGATTAAAATTAAATCAGAATTAAAATTTTGAAATGTGCATTGGTTCTTTTTTAGCAATATTGGATAATCTAAGAAGTTTAAAACGCTGTGGTGTCTATGTTAGATAATGAATACAGTAAGTAAATAATTATTGAGATTATAGTATTTTACTGCACATTGTCGGATATAATTTGGTTGATTATTTCCAATAATGAACCATTGCGATCGACCAAAAAATTAAAAGATTTAACCCCCTCACGTTTCAGGATACGTAGAATTCGAAAAACGAATACAAATTTTTTAGTCTGTTCGCCGTCAGCGTATTTTCTCCGAAATTACTGGACCGATTTTTTTTCGAATTTGGATATAAATAAAAACAGAGCTCACCCGAGGATGGTCCTTCTTCATCGAAATTACTATCCACCTTTTAGGTACAAAATGGCGGCCGAAAAAACTGCGTTGCTATAGACTGTAGCGCCTAAACGAATGTACCGGTTTCAATGAAACTTCACTAAAGTCATTTTCTTGACGCCCTTTAAATTTATCTATATAACATACATCAACGAAAAGAAGCTGGAAAAAAAGTTACTAGGGATGGAAAAATTAAATTCCGAATAACTCAAAAAGTATACAATTATTTTTCGATGGTTTTTTAAATGTTTACGAAATATCCTTTTAAAAAATCGTTAAAATCGTACAATTAGAAGCATAGATCTAGTCTCTAGTTTTATTTTTGTATGTTCCACTGCAAAGGTTATATCCTTTGTTTTGGTATTTGAATTTTGAATGTGTTAATGAAGTAATGCTAGTTTTTTTAGCATATTAGTAATGATTAAAAAAAAGTTTAGTCCAATAGTTGGAATCGCATTTTATTTATTTTTGTTTGTAACTAGGAAGGTAATGTTACTTTAGATGTATAATTGTTTGGGAATAATAAACCATTGTGAAATAATTTGCAGCGTTTTTTTTTTTTCTAGAGCTGTGATTGTGTGTATGTCGTTCAAAATAAAAAGTTGCACAAACCATGTATTAAAGATTTGTAAATTCCTGGGATGTTACAGCTATTTTTTCGTGGAAATTTGGAGCTGACTCTTTATATCACTGATTTGATTAATTTTTACAATTTTTCCTAACGATTTTGATTAAATTAATTAGGTCAATGTTTCATTAAGTGATTTTTAATTTGAGGTAGGTTTTACCCTCATCGATGCTTGACAGGGCTTAAATGCCGAATTTTCATCGATGCTTGATATAGCTTAAATGCTGAATTTTTCAATATTTCACCCTCTAAAGGACTGTTAATTTTGTTTAATTAAAATAATTTATCATTTCACATTGTAGAAAGTGATAAAAACAGGTTATATGTATGAACGTTGTATGAAGGTTATATGAAGTATGAATTTGATATTTAAAGAAAGGAGAAATAAGGATTAGTCCTAGATAAAAACTGTGAAATCGGAAAGCGCCCGGCATTTCCGAATTCCAGTCAAAGTACCCAGTGAGTATAGGGCTTTCTAGACATAGCTAAAAAAAAACGAAATAATAAAAAAAAAAAACTCTGCTGATATGTGATATGTTGAGGATCTACTGATGTATTTGAAATCGACAATGCGGATACTAATATTAACTCATTTTGAATGTATTTGTGGAAGATGTTTAGGAAAAGTTCAGATTTTTTCCAAAAGCCCTCTTTTATAATTTATTAATTGAAACATTTCTTGTCAAGCAAATAGTTTTTTTATATAAGTAAATTGCCTTTAATCTTTATGTCCTTTAATAGTTTGAACCCTACCATCAATTTTTGTATGCAGTTAATTGTTTTCGATTAATATATTATACCAATTTCTATTTACGGTAGAATGGTAAGTGAATGATGCGCGCATCGCACCAGAATTTTTTTAGGTGTTGAACTGGAGCAGCGAAGCTGTTCAATTATATTCATTCACAGATATAAATTTTTTATTAATATGCAATTTTCTAATTACTTTATTTTATTAATTATTTACTACTATTTAATAATTATTTATTTACTAATTTTTTTTTTTTTATAACAATCTTCTTGATTTCTTACGAGTGAAATTATTATTAAGTGAGTGTAAAACATGTAACTACTGTATTTTTTTATACTCACATTAACTAATTTAATTAATTAATTTGATTATAATGAATTATGCTAGTTCCAAGCCTGTTTCGGCTCTGATACTAATAGGGTGTATACAAAAAATTACCGTTTTATCAAATTTAAGATTTCAAATGACTGTAAATATTTTAATCCTGTTTAATACTTAATAATTTCTTTAAAGCATTCTCTAAGCTTGTTTAATCCCATTCGACTTCTTCAAAAAAAGCCTCAGTTTAGTTATTTGCTTCAAAGAAGAAACATGACAGTGTCCTACGAAATTCTCGTAACTTTTAGACATTACTGGAAAAAAAATCACAGCCGCTGAAGCAATTCGTGAAATTATTAAATATAAAGGGGAAGGTGTCCTTGACCAGTGCTTTCCGCGGCGTTGGTTGAAACATTTAGCAGTGGAGATACGACGTTGGCAAGGAAGAAGAGCTCCAGGCGACCATTAATGGATATCGATCAGGTTCTGCAGGAAGCTGTTTAGTCAAATCCGTCCACAAGTACTCGCGAACTTACCAGGGGAGTGTGGTGTGACGAAAAATACTGTTAGTCGCCATCTACTCTCCATGGAGAAGGTGTAAAAGAGCAGCTGGTCCCTCACGAACTTACTCCTCAGCAATCAGCTAAGAGGTTAGAAATTTGTGAAAATCTATTGAAAAACCCTTACCTGAAAAGCTCCTGTCTCATCCACCATAAAGTCCAGACCTTGCACCATCGGATTGTGACGGAAAAAAAAATACAAAAAAAAAAAATAGTTCGTAAAATATTTGTTAGTTTTATTTATTTACTCGAAGAGGGTTAAATTTAAAATTAAGTATTTAGTATTAGTTTTAATAATAATTATTAGTTTATAATAAGTCTTAGTTTTAAGTATTCATTCTATTTCGGATTGGAATAACCAACAGCTGATTGGGAGGAAAAACAAAAGAGAGTTGAGAGAGAGATGGCGGAACCTCTCGAGTGTTGAGGCACGCTAAGGATTTGGTTGTGTGAAATACTTTAGTTTTACGGTGTACACCGGATTTTCTTTTCCTCTCCATGAACCTGTGATTATCAGCGACGAGTGCAGCTTGATTTTACGAGTTGATGAATGAACATTTCACAGCTTGAGGAGGTAGATGCTGATGACGCTAGTTCGAATAAGATCCCGATTCCTCAGATAACCCAATGTGCCAAATGCACAGAGTTCAACCAGTGGAATATTGTAAATATGTACATATAAGTTTTTTTTTATCTATTTCCAAATATTTGTAATTGGTTTATTGCATAGTCGTAAGTTAATGTTTTGTTCTATAATAATTTTATAATAATAATTAAAGTTAATTGTATTTTCTTTGATTTCTTATAAATCTAATTTCTTGTTCATAATTTTCATTTCCTTTAACCGTTATTTAAATTAATAATAGCCAGTTTTATTTTCTGCTTTTTCTTCAGTTTGTTTTCACGGTTTATGTATATATTATATTGTTTTGTTTTTTGGTTTAATAAGGAATTGTAAAACCCTATTCGAGGGATTAGGGAAAGTCATTATTAACCAAGTAAGAAGGTTCGATAGGTTATGAGGTTAATTAACATATGTTTTTAAACCCATAGGTTCCGAGTTCGTAGCTCACTTCGCGTCCTAATCTTTTTTTTTTTTTAATTAAATTTATTTATTTATTTTTTATTTTTGTGGTTTTCGCTATTTTCCAAATTCAACCAATTACATAGCGTGGCGCCCGTTAGATACTTAGTAATATTTAATTGACTTTTCATTAACTTTTTTTTTGCGAACCCTGCCGTCTCCACTGAGCATCCGGCAAGTTTGTTGCGGAAAAGATTTTTCCAAATTAAAGACCGTAGCAGGATTACTACTTATTTAGATCAATGAGCCATTTTCTTCAAGGTAACAGAATTGATAATTTTGCAGAAATCGAAATTGCTGTCCAAGAGCTCTTTGACAGCCATCCCAACGAAGTGTATCAGTGTGGCATCGAGCAATTGACTAGCACATGGGTAATGGCGGTAGATAACAATGGGCTATACTTTAAGTATTAATTGTATTTTATATCAAAGAAATAATACAAATAGTTGTTTGAAGAACGATAATTTTTTTGTATGCACCCTATTACATCCATAAACGATAAATGTATTATACATTTTCTTTGGCACGTCCAAAGAAATATTTGTATTGATTTTTTTTTTTGTTTTTGTTAAGTGAGCCGGAATTTATTTATTACTTACTTTTAATGAATGAATATATGGGTTACTTACGATGTAGGCTGCGACGAAGGCTAGAACGAATCCCGTCAACATGACTAGGAAGTATATATGTAGCAAAAGATTTTGCACTGCAAAGAATCGATTGTAATAAAATCATCAAAGGATTTAATATATATATAAAAGACTTTGCACTTATCAATGTCATAGAACATAAAATAAATTGGTTCTAGTATAGCTACCAGTTTAAGAGTGGGTGAGTAACTTTTACAGCGGTTAGAATTTAGTTTGCGATGATTCCGTGGTGGATACACTGTGCTAGCCCAGCCTGCAAAAACGTGATTTGTGTAGGCATGTACTGCGCTACTACCTTGCGGCAGTTTGAGAACCCTAGCTCACTACACTCGTTGTATAATTAGGTTTTAGTTATTTCCGTTGCTTTTTTTCAAAATGTTTTTTTTTTCATTAAATTTGTCTCAAGAGCAGTGTGCCGCAATGCGCAGTAAATACCAACACGTAGCACGTTTTTGCAGACTGAACCAACGGAGTTTATCAACCAGGTAATCACCACAAACTAAATTTTACCCCCTCTCCCAAAGTTATCCACCCAGTCACAAAGTTAGCCCATCTTACGGCATGCATATTTAATTTAATATATATTCATGGTTTATTACGATGAGAAGACCATAGGAGATTATTCCACCGGTTCACATATAACCATAGGAGGTTAGGAGATTATTCCACATATCATTTTTAATAAAAATGCATATTGTGCATATTTCGTAAAATTGAGAACGTCAACAAATGGCGTAAGTTTGGTCTAAAAAATATAGGCCTATGTTTGGCTCTGAGAGAAATTTATATTTTTTTCTTTGTCAATGAATCACCTTAATTCAAAAAGATCCTTGTCATATACATTTAAGTAACTCCTACTAAAAATATGTATGAATGTAATTTTATTTATTCGTTAGGTGAAGATGAAATTTCTGAAGATTTAATTTTTTTTTTTTTGTTTCACTAATTCGTAAGTTATACTAGAAGTTTCGCTATAAATATAATTGAAGAGAAGTGTGAAACATTTGCATTAACTTTGGGAAATTTATATTCAGAAATATCATATTTAAATAATGATTTTCTATACAGGTGTTGATAGCTTTTTTAATAAAGCAAATATATATTTGTCTATTTTTAGATATTTGGAACAAGACATTTTTGAATTTAGTTGATTTATTCTGATCGTTTCTGAGAGACTCAAACATAAACCGAAACAAAATGAAAACATTGTTAAAAAACAACGATGAAAAACAACGATAGATCAATCAATGCGCCTTTTATCGATTATTCAATTTTCATTCTCTGGTTTGATCTTTCGTCTAGTTGTTTTAAATATGATTAATGTCTCATATTTACAATATTGTGAGATGGGATAGCTTTGGGACAGCGGGAAAAATTAGCTTGTGGTGATTCCGTGGTGGATACATTGTGTTGGTTCAGTCTGCAAAAATGTGCTTTGTGTAGGTATGTACTGCGCTACTACCTTGCGGCAAACTACTCTCGAGGCACAAGCGAAACTTTCATAGAAACAAGGATGTTGAAAAAGCAATGGAAATAAATAAAACCTAACTGCAAAACGATTGTAGTGAACTAGGGTTCTCAAATTTCCGCAAGGTAGAAGCGCATTACATGCCTACACAAAGAACGTTTTTGTGGACTGAACCAAAACAGTGTATCCACAACGAAATCACCACAAACTAAATTTTTCCCGCTGTCTTAAAGTTACTCCATTTTACGGTATATAAAAAATCAGATTTTGGGCGCGCTATGACACACACTGTCCCAGTGGGTGATTTACATTGTAGTCGTTCGTGAATTTACCATGAATTGTGTAAGGTATTGGTAATGAAATATTTTATGCATATATCTTTCGGGCTGAATACCGTATCAAAATAGTAAAATGTAACATGTTTTATGGTAAACAATATTAAAAAATTATTTCTTAAAATATTACTGTTCGTGTAATTACATTTTATAGGACTTCGAGAATCACTTAAACACATTTTCATATAGATAGTTAGTATCTATCTAATTATAGCTATATGAAAAAAAAAAATACTTTCGGACTGAAGCTTCCCAAAAATTAAATCCTGGATCCGCTAGTGACTTCATCTACATATGCTATTAAGGAAAACATCACAACCCCCTTGGTAGAATGTATTTTATTTTATACTTCATGTAAATTTGATCATGTCTGAGAATTGATACAAGAAGCAAAGATTTTACTTACGTGCTTTTACGCCTGCAGAAGTGAGGGATGGCGCGTACCAGTGAACTAGCATCGTAGTGATCATGAGGGCCTGAAAATAAACGTTTATTTTTTAAAATTTACAAGGGGATGTCACAGACAGTGGGACACCGATTTCAACTAAAATATCGTTGGCGATTCTACATCGAAAAATGTTGGACACATTTCCGACGTTCTTTCTAAAGGATCTTAAATAGTGTTGCTCAAACGCAAGACAAACCTTGTTCTTGGTCTCGCGCAAGAGTCTTTCAATTATCTATTAGCTTATTGCTATTTGTTATGCATATTACATTAGATCTTATAAAAAACGCAACAGAGTAGCCACATTTAGAGGTCATATTGACATGGATATAGTAAACTCCAACCAAATTAGTAAAATTAACTTTACAATACTTTCGAGACATTGTCAAGAAATATAGTGATAGCCCTCTCCACTCTCCCCCCCCTCCATTAGATGGAATGGTTTTGTAGATTAGTTGTAAAGACAATAAATACAATGTCACTAATGATTTAAATAAAAACTTTGTTGTATCTACTCATATGCCACCCGGACCATCTTCTTACTTTATAATGCAACGGTCAACTATTAAATATTCAATATAGACTTTGCATGGATCCCAAGCTGCTTATATACTAGCCGGGTATCATTGGAAACCCTGATAAGGTTCATATAAATGTAATACAGGTATTATAGCTCAGTTAAATTAGCACAAAAAATAGTGATCTATCTTTCAAAAGGTAGGGTAGTTAAAATTTCTTTTTATACTGTTAGTTATGCAGTGACTATAAAAAATCCAAGTTTGTGAATCTTTAAATCCCATGAAGGCTTTGTGGGTTCGCTGCAGTGCTCCAAAAACCGTTGAAATTTCGAACTTTTTTTTTAAAAGCAACATGGATAAAAAATGGCTTTATTCGATCTTAAACAGATTAAAATTGTATAACATTTTGTACGTAGCATTTTTTTTCTAAACTATCGAGCTATCAAAATGGGTATAGTTTAAAAAAATGAATACGAAATTTGACAATTCAATTATTGTATTAATATTTGTTCGTTTATACAATCAAATATTAATACAATTATTATAGCGCTTTAACTATGCCATTATTAGTATTTAATAATGTGGCCGATTACTCCAGCCGCTTATACTAGTGCCGCTTTTCCGCCGATTAAGTGTATATTCTAAGTAACTGCTTCGTGTTTTATAAAGAAAATGTATTCTCCAGAAGTTTTATTTCTGGGCTTTTTTCGTTATTTTTGGCCGTTTATTTACAAAAGACGCTTGATATTCAGCTTTAGCGAAGCTGGTAGCTAGTTTTAGCGAATTGAAAAACTTGGCTTCACTAGTGTTATTTATTAACAAGGCCAATCATTTTTTTTTTCGTGTTTTATTATTCTCAAACTATCCAGCTTTAAAAAAAGTCCAATTACGACGAAATTAGGCCAAATGCTGACTATCAGTGACCGAAAACTAACTCAAGTCGAAGACGTCAATCTGCTATGAACGCCATTTTGAGACAGTGCGTCTCACTTTTTTATGGAAACATTGCTTTTTTTTTTTTTAATAAATAGTTACAAGATACACAATTCTATGCAATTTGTTGGGATGTGGGGAGGAGGATCTGGCCCAACGTGTAACATACTTTTTCAAAACACCTGCCGAATGCCGTTCCAATCAATGGCTGTTTTTCTTCAAGAAAAATATCCAAATTCCCTGGACCAAATTCAAAAGGAGTTGCGGAATTCTTCCTTTCAAAATTGAAAGAGTACTATTGTGATGAAATCGGAATAGGTAAATTTGGAAAGCTCGATAATTCGCGTTCTGCTGGGCTAAGAAAAAAATGTTAGGTGATTTTAAGTTGTTCAAGATTGAATATAACCATTTTTTTATCTATGTTGCTGAAAAGAGAAAATATTTAGCGCAAACCAAAAAAAGTGCGAAATTTCAATGGTTTTTGGAGCAATGCAGCGAACCCACAAGTCTTTCAATGGCAGAAGCTTGGATTTTCTATATTAACTGCATATCCAACTATATTTGAATCACCCGACCTTTTGCAAGGCAACATGTCTAATTTGACTGGACTATTATTAGTCTCCCCCGAACTTACTAGTTACGACCAGGCAGGATAAAGGTATTGCACTTGGCATTTGTCCGATTTTAATAAATATATTAATTTTATTCGTAGCTCTTGTCTATTTATCTTTATCAAATTACAGATAAGGTTTCTCATCGGATCAGAATGCAGGTTTCTGTAGTTTAGATTGAAATGAGTATTAATTTGTTACTGGATGATTTTTTGTTTGATCTTTCAAAATGATTAAAATTAAGAAAATGATTCTGGCAACTGATCTGATACTCATCCCGAAGGAGATACTTACTACACCTGAGAATGATAAAATGACTGTGCCGGCCTGATTGGTGAATAGAAAGCAGAATGCGAAACCCCATTTCTTTTTAGGCCTATCCTCCGGTTCATTTCTTCTCTTCCTATCCTCCCTGTAAGGCCTGTTATGTTGTCTATAAGTGGTCGTTCCTTTTGCCGTCATCCTAGAAATTTGGTCGTCTAATCGATACTAGCTAATTTAATTCCAATCTTTTTGATTTTTTAAAAAATGATATTCTAAATTACAGGTGATTTCCATTATTAGTGATAATATTCGGAGCAATAATATAAAGGATTAGTAGCAATAATGTAACTACAGGTGATATCAAACAGTAATCATGAAAACGTCAAACAGTTACTTCTGATTAACGAGGCCGTGATGGTCGGGCGTGAACAGGCGTTGCCCACTTAATCACAGCGAGCTTGATACAATTGGATACACCTAACTACTAACTGTTAAAACAGCGCGTTGACGCTTAAGCGGAAGTCCGGGATTTCGGTTGTTTCCCGCTGGGTTCTGAACCGGGATTTCTAGATAAATTACTCAAGAATTCATTACTTCGGTTCTACTCAATATTTTTACTCAAAGCCTGTTTTAAGTCAAACAAATATAATATAATGTAAAAAATTCAAAAGTCTATCATTATTAGCCATTGCTGAGTTTATCGCTGGCAAAAAAACCAAAATAACATTGGACATTGAATGATCTATATCCATGTAAAATTAGAACTTGATCTGAATATTGTGGCGGGCGGGGTGACATTTGAGGGAGTTCTTTTTTCCCATTTCTGGCTAATACGTTTGGTTAATCCTACAATTTTTACGAAAACATTTGTTAGGCTCGGGAAGTTGAATCGAATGGCACCTTGGACGGGAAGATCGGACAAAGTTGAAAAATGAGTGTGTTTTACCCGTGTTTTAAGTGAGAATGCGTTACAGATGTTCGGGATTTCGGATTTTTCCCGTTGAGTTGTGATAATTTTTTTCTATCAGTTGAATATTACAACTTTTAAATGTGGCTCGCAGTAGAGTAGGTTGGGATGAGAATCGAACTAAATGCCTAGCCGGGATCCCTAGACAAATTACTTAAGAATTCATAACTTTGATTCTGCAAGCCTGAATATAAGGTCAAAATTTCAAAAAGTCTACCTTTAGCCATTGCTGAGCTTACCCCTGACAAAATTTCGTTGGACAATGCGGACCTACAGACGGACAAAATATATTTTAAAAGTGGATTTGGGGTCTGTAATGTATGAAACGGAAAGATATCATGAAACGCGTTGATTCTATTCAATGTACACACAAAACCTTTATTTTATTTATATAGACATTTATTAAAAATAATAAATAAATTAAAGAAATCCATTCAAGAAATTATAAAGTGTTCTTTTTTTTCTTGTCCTCTTCCTCCTCGTCTTCTGGCTATACGGGTTTTCCCGGGCCGGGAGGTAAGGGCGGGGGATTAATGCCTGAGTTAAAAAGACTCCCTTGGTAACGAGACGCGGGACGCGAACATAGGCCTCCCCCAGGCATTGTCTAGACTTTCCCTAGTGAGAAACCGAATTCTTAATCTGCATCCACTTCTCTTTCCGGGCAGCTCTTATTCCTTGCTAATCTCCACCATCGTGGTCCAGCCATCTTCCGAAATTAGTCACTCCACCTCTTGGTCTATTTTCCTCTACGCTTTTTATAACATAAAAAAAATACTGTTTCTAAACATCCACCTCCATTGACCATCTTTTATCAGTTCTTATTTCGCTCACTCACATTTATTCTTTATGAGATAATGAATTAAAATTAATAAATCTTAGATAATTAAGTTCATAAAATCGTGGTGATAATAGCATCCTTTTTAATAATTTAAATGATGAAAATAATGAATACAAAAGAATTTAAAATCAGTTTAATAAAGTTTTTCAATAACAATGCTATATCCAGAATGATCCAGAAAATTTTGTGCCCGCAATTTATCGAAATTTGCATTGTTCTCTCATAATTGGGCACAATTATAATTACACCACCTTATCGGCTTCTCTGCGAACTATTTTTTAGTGAACCTAGCTAGGTAACAGAACAAATACTGTGGAATTGAGTTTTAAGCAACAGTTTCTAAATATGCTCAATCAACAAAGTGAAGAAAGTAAAAGTGATAGGGTGTAAGCTTTAGATGAGATGTCATTATAAATTAAATTACTATATAGCTTCCTTAATAATTTAATATATTTTATATAGATAAATGAAGTGTGAAGTGAAATTCAATCTATTTTAATACAGTAACAAGACCTAATCAAAGTTAATTTAAAACATAAAAAGTGAAATTTTAGTTAAGTTCTAAGTGAAACTCCCAGCTGAACACACCTCCCTTAAGATGATCCACATGTTTGATTTGAAACGTTGCCACAAATAAAAAAAATTGTATAATGACTACGTCCTGACTATTTATCACCCATGAAATTTTAGTTAAACAATGTTTTATTCTCTTTATAATAATGAGGTATCTTTTAAACGATACTGAAATTTTCATATAAGTGCCTATTTTGACTTAAGTCCCACTAGAATAGTTATTAATTATAACACTAGAATAGTCTTATTTTAATGCTAAAACAGCCTATTCTACGACCTCTTTGGAGTTTTTTTATATTTCATATAAATAATATTAGACAATATAGACGTGATATAACGTAAATAATTCATAACAATGAAAATATTAAGGTGTGAATATCTCCTAAACAAAACTTTTGCGGACATAACTTCTGAGGAAATTTTTTTCTTGTTTTGAGGTGCTTAGTTCATTTTTGCAGTTTGGCAACTTAACCCTGAATCACCCTTTATATATATATATATTTTTTTTAATATCGGTATATCGATATCTTTTTAAGATCTCTATAAGGTATAGGTTTATTATTGCTTTACTAAGAAATAAACATGATCTCCATGTTTAGAAAGGCTTTTCCTATTTTATCTCAAAACTAAATATAAAAATATAACATCGGTTTAACGATCATTTGTATTTATTTTATCATTTTTGTATTTATAGTTTCTCTATTTCTTTGGAGGGCGATGAGAAGATATCTCAATCCGTTACTGCGAGTATCCCTGTTCGCCATTAATTTCCTTCTGGTTTTCATCAGCTTAATTGTGAAGCGAAAGCAAGGATCGTCAGTATCGTATATACATAAAATACTGAAAATAAATCATTAAGATATTTAAAATTAGTAGCAGAATAACTCAAGGAGTAAAGAATCACTTTGACAAGCTTTTAAGGATAAGTAACATAAAAAACAGTTCATGTTTAAGTTTTAAAAAAAATGGGATTTTTATTTTTGGCTATACAATGGTGAATTGATTTTTTAAAATTGAAATATCTTTTCAGGTTTTTAGTTTTTCAATAATTAGAAATGACCTAAAACATCACCATAAATTCCTAGCTGGCTGTGTGGATTTAGCCCATGCTTTTAAATTAAAAAAATATATTATGTGAATACTACAAAAAAAAAAAAAAAAAAAAATCAAATTACTTCAACTGAAATTATTTCGAAACTGTCACAGGATCTCACGAAATGAATTGAGTTATCAAACTTAAAATTCAGTCCAGTAGTACGCTCAAAAAACCGTTACCTACCTTTTAACGGATAGTTTTATACGATTATTTGTCATTGTTTTGAGACCTAATAGTTCCAAAACATTGGATGGACATATCACTGAACGATTTGAGCCATAAAATCATAAATAATCTGGTGCACGCAACACACAACTTTCACTTACCGCTCTACTTTGAATAGAAATTATTTTCTGGCAATGTTGGGCTATTATAAAAATTTTAAAGTGCATTTTTAATGGAGCTACTGTTTAAAGCTTACAGCCAACACATTATTAATTATAACAAAAACCCTATTAATTATATCAACGGTAGGCAATAAAAACCTCGTTAATAAAATGGAATTACGTGATTTTCATTGCATGTCATAGATAGGTCGAAAGTTGTCACAATAATTTTAAGTGGGTAATGTTAGAATTTAACAAAGGAAAAATTCATCAAATTATCCACGAATTTAATTTTCTAAAAGGTTACATGACGATTTTCGGATCAAACGGACGTTGATACCTAATTATTTAAATATAATACCAGATCTAGAATTATAAAACTACAGTAAATGTATTTAAGGTTAAGATGAATGCTTTATACATCCATGAAATATTTTTATATTTTCGTTCTTGATTAACACACGTACAATGAAATAGTTTTTTCAACAATTCATTGTCTTGATTAGGTTACTTATCCACTAATACTTTTCCATACTTGGAAAGTATGGATAATAATGGATAATAATTAGTTTTCACAAATATTATATATAATTTTTCGTCACTCTCCAATATCTTCTACGACTTTCTATATTAGATAATGTTTTTTCATAAATTATCTGCTTTACATATATTATATATATGTAATATATGTAAAGCGGATAGCGAAATTCCTTCTTACTAGTATTTCCGGAGATTCATTTTTGTCTTAAATGAACATTTTTTTTCATCTTTTTTTAATTATGAAATTCTTTCAAAATTTATATTTAGTATTTTTTCGTAACTCCTAACAATGAGAGATAGTTTGTTTAAATTGTTTAAAAGAAACAAAAAAAGATAGTTTAGAGGAAGATATGTCGAACATAGGTATTAATTTAGGCATTTAGGCATTTAAGCCCTGTAAAGTGACATCAATAGGGGTAAAACCTAAATGATATTAAAGACCACTTACTTATACAACGATACACCGAGTTTAATCAAAATCGTTAGAATCATTTATGACAGGATTGTAAAAATGTTTATAACCGTTGATATAAAGTGGCACTTACGGTAAGCCGATTTTAAGAAAAAAGTATCTGTAACATCCCAGATATATACAGTTCTTACATACGTAATATCAGTTTCGTACGACTTTTCGTTTTTGAGCTAGACTGTGAGCTAGACACACACACACACACACACTTTTGCGGGACTTATTTGGATTCAGAGGATAAAAAACCGTGTATTTCCGTTGAAAAGTCGAATTAAAAAATTTTCACGATCCCAATATTTTCCCTTACTATATCTTATATACATACATAGGTAAGTGAAGGTAACAAGGTGAAGCAGTTCGCTCAAAAAATTGTTACACACCTACAAGCGGTCACCCCAACATTTAAACCTTCTTGTAGATTTTTCGTAGTCGGTTAAAAACTGACCAATCCATAACGGTATGTTTAGACACTTCACAAACTATGGGAAACATTGCTAAGCTGCACATTTTCCTTCTTCTTACCGACAACAGATGGAAAACATCAAAAACAAGATAAGGAAGGAGATGGTCCGGGGTGGCTGTCATAAATATAGTGGCAAAACTATTTTATTAAAAGCCAACGTTTCGACCCGACTTTGCAGGTCTTCTTCAGAGAGGTGTGTTCACCTAGGAGTTTCACTTAGAACTGAATTTATCATTACCGATATGTAGTTGTTTTAATCTTTCTACCGCTATTTGGTAAAGAAAGTATTGTTACAAATCACTCAAGAGATCTTGCTGAGTAATTTGAACGATCAAACTTGAAAGACGGTTACATACATTCAAATAGTAAAAGTCATTTAATAGAATAATTTTACCGATGTTTAGTATCATATTGTTTAAACTCACGGTATCCATTGAAAAATTTGTTGAAAAGATCTTTGCGTACATACAAAGGTGAACACATTACTGAAACTCAGTTCTAAGTGAAACTCCTAGCTGAACACACCTCCCTGAAGAACACCTGCAAAGTCGGATCGAAACGTTGGCTTTTAATAAAATAGTTTTGCCACTATTTAGCCTATTTATGACCGCCACCTCGGACCATCTCCTTCTTTTATAATTCAACGGTCAACTATTCAATATTCAAAAACAAGAAACCACAAAATATTTTAATTTAAAAAAAAAAAAAGAGTACAGAAATTGACAAGTTCTATCTACCCCAAGGAAATGTACTTCCATATCTACTTAAACATCTTGGTAGATTGATAGGGAAATTGATATATAAGAATATTTAAGCTTGATTTAATAGTCGGATGCCTTTCACTATACATTACAGCTCCAGGCAAATATATTTCGTAATTAAAAAAAGCAGTTAAAGTAATTACAGCCGTCAAAGGTAAAAATCGTTCAAGCCATTCGCTCACAAAATCGTTATGTAACTTTTAGCGAATTGATTAACACAGCCCTCGTTCCCCTTCATTTAGTTAGGTAAAAACATTAGATAGGGAAACAATAAATTAAATATTTATGTTTCACATAGTTTGTGAAACATCTAAACATACCTTAAGAGATCCGTACTAGTCCAATTAATATTATTTGGGATAATTGAGGTTTTGTTTTTTAATCTTTCAGTATTTTGACACCAAATCGTTACAAATCACCCAAGGGATCTTGCTGAGTAATTTGAATGATCAAACTTAAAAGTCGGTTACATACATTCAAACAGTAAAAGTCATTTAATAGAATAATTTTACCGCTGTTTAATCTCATATTGTTTCAAAATGCTCATAGAATCCATTGAAAATTTTGTTGAAAAGATGGTTGCGTACACACAAAGGAAAATACATTAATCTAGGAGTAGTGTACAAATGACCCAATGTTAGTTTCATTAAATGTTATAAAATATTTTTACTTACCAAGAAAAGCAGTAGTATATACAAAGGAGACAAACATGAGCATAAGGACGTCTTTTTCTCTGGTTTTCTTCGTTGGTCTTCCGGGTTTGGTGACCTCTGTTTCTGTAGTTGTTGAGGTCTGAGCGCCTTTACCTTCTGTATTTGTTGAGCTCTGAGCGCCTTTACCTTCTGTAGTTGTTTCTTCTTTAGTATCCGCCCATTTTAAAAGATCTTCTTTTAATTCGACTTGAGCCAAGTCAGGTTGCTGAATAATTGGACGAAAGAGGTCTTGATTATAGAGATCACTCTGATAAGACATAGACCATTCATCTCTGCTCAGTTCATCTGTACTATTTTCTCTTGCGGCCTCCATCGCGATGTACACAGCTCGCCATCTGGAGTCTTGTAACCAGTGGTGGTCTGGACATCGCCAATCCGGACAGACGTAACTGGAAGCAGTCATCTTTGTATATCAATCGTTATATAATTAATAACTTTAATGGTAAAAAATAGTTTGAAACATATTGTTTAGATTGTTATAATGACGTTCTCCAAATGATCTTTAGCATTATGTTAAAAGGTGGAGGAGGTGGGAGGGGAGGAAGAAGAGGGGTGGACCATTAGATTAAATAGTTAGTACGCGATAGATAGTTACATATGTTAGTATTGTATAAGTATGCCTGTGTCTAAGATGTTTATTGCAGTACATTTTTTAAATTATTTTTCATTTATTAATATATTTATTTATATAAATGATTAGCTTCATGTCAAAGACGGACATCTGTCTGCCTCTTGACTTTCCATGGCTTCGGGCTATTATAGGCGACAGCTGCTTGGTTCTCTTGAAACATTTAGTTCTCTTGGAGATATCCTGGGAGCACGTGGTTTACGATAACCGGACGCAATCACAATTCCTCCCTCTCCATCAAATAGTTTTCCTGTTGGCAAGGATGGTTGTGGACTCTTTTCAGAATTCTCCTCCATACTTTTTATGGGATAAAATTATCCAATTGTGATAAGCAACCGAGTAATGCCTGTTGAGTGTATTTTTACATTATGTACAAATACACCTTAACAGCTCGATTCTAGCGGCTTCTATCATACATGTATGTATATTTTAACATAATTATTTAAATTGCGAATTAGGTCACTTAATTACTACATCAGGCCAGGAACACACCGACAGCCTCAGCACCGTCTACTAGCACCGATATTAAGCTAGCTTTTAGTAGCTACTCAGCTAAGTAGCGTAATATCTGTGCCAATGGACGGTGCTGAGGCTGTCGGTGTGTTCCTATCCTGAGGTATCGAGGCTCTATTTTAAAACTTTGAAGAGGATCCCATTGTTAGCATAAAAAAATACAAAAAAAAAAAAAACGCGATCGAAACGTCGAACAAACACTATCAATGAACATTTTGTAGTTTATTGAATAATAATTATTATTCAATAAGTCTTATATTTTAACATAATTATTTAAATTAGGAATTAGATTACTTAATTATAATTCCCAATTTAAATAATTATGTTAAAATATAATACTCAAAAGTCGTTTGAAGAAATTTTGTAAATAAATAAATAAATAAATAAATAAATAAATATATATATATATATATATATCTTTTTATTTTAATTTTTTTTTTCGATTGGCTCTACAGACTTTGTAGATCTTTAGCCGCCTTACCAGCCTTCTCCACCTCTGCCTATCTTTGGCTACTGCTTTCTAGTTTGCGGCATGAAGCTCAGCCGTATCTTTGTTTATCCTATTCATCCATCTGGTTTTTAACCTTCCACGTGGTCTCTTACCTATTACTTTGGCATTCATTGTTGTGTAGAATTGCTTCGAGCTACATACCCCACCCATCTTAACCTCCTTCCCTACATATCATAAGATATTGATTGACCCTTTTCTTTTAGCAGTTCTTTATTGTTCCTCCTCCTCCACGTATTAAGGTTCTGGTCCCATATAGGTCCTCTTATCATACGGAGGACTTTTCTTTCAAATCTCTCAATTCTGCTTTCTAGGGTGCCGGTTGGAGCCCAGGTTTCACAACCGTACAGCAGAACTGGCTTTATCACGGCGTTGTACACCCTCACTTTGACATTTCTGCAAATTTTTCTGGATTTCATTACCCTTGTAAGAGAGAAGGAAGCTCTGTTCTCACTTTCGTTATTCGCTGGCCTATCTCTGTTAGTTGGTCATTTATTGTGGTTATTGTGGAGCCGAGGTATTTGAATCTGTCTACTTTCGGGAATGACTTCGAGTCCACGCAGATCATGCTATCAGGGTGGATATTTCGGCTAATTATCATATATTTTGTTTTATCTTCGTTGACTTGTAGTCCAATTTGCTCTGCTTCTTTTACTTTATATTTATTTAGGTTTCTGTAAATATGATGTGGATGTGCTCTCTGAAATTTATTATAAGTGTCCTTAATTGAGACGGATTGTATTAATTCTCAATAAACAATTTAAAAAAAAAAATTAGTGTAGATAAATTCAAAGATTAAGGGTAAATACAAGTTCGAGTTTTTGATCAAGGAGTATAAATCGTAAATTTTACAATCTCTAGAGTATTTGTTTTGTTCAATGGCGGACCTAAGGGCTTTCGGACTGAAGCCACCCCAGTATTGATGAATGTGTTTTTTTTTTTTTACTGACTTTTGTTCAATGAACGATGTAAGTTAAATATTTAAAAATCACAATAAGTGTTATTTTTTAAATTTTGATGCAAATACAACTACTAAATATAACCATGTCTAATAAAAAAAATTCTACAAGTATTATTGTTCACGTAATTACCTTTTTTTTGTTTCAAGAACCATTAAAATCAGGAGTCGAACGAGTCAACTTTTTAAAATTAGTTTGATTTTAAAAGTATTTAGCAAACATATTTAGAAAAAGGTCGCCAATTAAAAGTTATTTTTATACGTTTATGATCAAAAAATTGTCTTCAAAAGTTCATATTTCATCCAAAAACTTTGAATAAGTAAAATAAAAGTGTGAGTTTAACAACAAGTCTTTTGCTCTTTGTTGGTATTTTAAAATTTGTTATAATAAGAAATGAGTGTGTGAATTCTCACACATACTGGTGTTTGTTTTGATGATTTGGTGAGTGTTATTTCGATGATGGCAAGAATGAATTTTCAATTTCGGGATTCCTGAAATTACTTTATTAAAAATATCATTATATATCCAATATTTCCCACCGTACTATTTCCATCCTAAAACGTCTTAACTACTCCCGTCACCTATTTCCTTTTGAAACCCGTAGGCTCCTAGTCACTTCCTTAATTTTTCCCCACTTTGACTATTGCTGTACGGTATATGGGGCCTCTCTGGGGATCTCGAGGTGAAACTAAAACGTTTGATAAATTGCTTTGTACGATTCATCTTCGGGATCCCAAGGGACGCCTCTGTTTCCCATTTTTACGCGGAGTTAAAGTGGCTTTATCCTTCCTACCGTCGTAAGTATTTCCTGGCATCCTTCCTCTTTCAAGTCATCCAATCCCACCGTCCCTCATACATCTCCGAGCTCCTTCAATTCAAATCCTCTGTTCGTTCCCGCAATACTCGTTCCCGGTCTTCTGATTTATACATAAGGGCCCACCGAACCGCTGCTTTCGACAAATCGTTCATTATCCGATCCTCATCTCTATGGAACTCCATCCCTTCCCATATCCGTCAATCTAATACCCTTCCTACCTTTAAATCCCGCCTGTTCAATCATTTCTTATCCATCCAGTCCCCATAAAATCGTAAATAGATACTACTGAAAATATGTACATAAATTATTAGTTCGTTCTTCATTATTTGTACTCCAATTTTTGTTTATCTATTTTTTTTTTCTTTTATTATCAACTGATCAAAATTGGAAAGCAACTTATATGTATATGTGTATATATATATTATTTTTTTAACCAAGACTGTTCAATTACTCTGTATTTTTATTTATATATCTCTGAGGCTCCTTAGCCCTCATTTCTGTCTTCCTGTATTATTCTAAAGGGACTCGTCCCAGAATAAATAAAGTATTATTATTATTATTATTAAAAAGTATATTACTGATTTTTTTTTGCATAAAAATCTTTTTTGAATAAGTTTCAGAATAACTGAAGTGAACTTTTATTAAAATAGGTATTTGGATAACAGTTTTAAAATAACTTCATCAAAAAGTAATCATAATAAAAAAGTTCATGTTCAATAAAAACTTCATGTAAGATGTGAAAAATAGTAGGTTTGAGTTAATCTTCTTAAAAATAAAAATCAACTTTTATCTTCGACCCCTGATTTAAATATCACTTCATATGGGTAGTTAGGTTCTTTTTCTTTTTCTTCCAAAGTAATTAAAACTTCATATATATATATATATATATATATATATATATATATATACAGTGGCTCACAGTGAAATTGATACACCCCATAGAAAAAAAATACTTAAATGGTTACTGTAAACAAATAAAACCAGAAATTGTTCTACAAATTGATCAATAATTTCATTTTAAACATGTACAAACTCAATAAAATTAAAATATTTAACAGGGACGATTTAAAAAAAATAGTGAAAAAAATGGACTATTTTACTTCACAGCGAAAATGATACACCTCACTTCTTATTAACTTTTACTTAATACTATTAATTTAGTTCAATACCTTATAGAGAAGCCATAATTTTCTACATCTCCTTTCAGTCTGTTTGCAATGGAGTCGACCGATTTTTTGATAATTCCGGGCTTACCCTGTTCAATTCTTCGAGGAGATATTTTTTTAAGTTTCCTTTGCTAGAAATTTCGTGTTTTCTAATTTCTACCTTCAATTTCGTCCCCAGGTTTTCTGTCGCATTAAGATCTGGTGACCGTGGTAGGACTTTTATGACTTTGGGACATTTAATTCCTTAATTAATTAATTATTTAACTAACATGGCAGAGTGTTTAGATTCATTATCCTGATAAGAACAAATTTGTTTCGTAGTCCAAATTTTGCACATTGTTTTTAACGTTTCTTTTCATAATGTCTATGTAATATGTGTTTATTCACTTTACCCTGTGAATATTTTCACTATTAAGTGAAGTTTCCTACACCAGAACCCGCCATGCATCTCCTTACCATGAAACATAACATAAGAATAAGAAAAAGAACATAAGAAAATAAGAAAACGCTTTACTAGGATTATTTATTACGATAAATTATTGTTTTTAATGTAATATAAATTGAACCATAGAACTATTTATTTATTGTAGAATAAATAATGATATCTATCATTATCAAGGTGTATCACTTTGACTGTGAGCCACTGTATATATATATATATATATATATATATATATATATATATATATATATATATATATATATATATATATATATATATAACTATATATATATATAGTTATATATATATATATATAACTACTGTTTTATATATATATATATATATATATATGTATATATATATATATAAAAGGCTGAAGCCCTCCCACTCTCCTCCCTCCCCTCCCCTCTCAAAACAATTAATTACTGGATCCGCTATTAGTTTGGTTATGTTTAAGGATGCAAATGTATCTGCTAATTGGTACATGCTTGATTTGCTTTACTTACGCCATGGCGTTATTATCCCGTACATAAGATATTATGGACAAGATGAAGTAGAAGAGAGTTCCAATGCCGAGTAAGATTGCAGAGATTCTGATTAATTTAATTTTTTCCTGTTGGTACAAAATGTTCTATTTTAATCCAAATTGCAAAAATTAATTAGGACATTCTCCCAGAAATTGAAAAATGCTGTCCGAATGGTATTGCCACTTCCAGTCAACAATGACGTAATCATAAGAATTATCCGAATAAACGAGCTTTTTCAACGTTCTAAGGTACATCATCATGTGACTAAATTTAGAATAATTAAGTTTTAAACGCCAATATGTTCACCTTGTCTGAACCTCATCATCCATCTTTACTATATCAGTCCTGTTACAAATTTAAGACCAGATGACCGTTCAAATTCACGACTCAAAACTTCTCTTTATGTCACAACATATATGATAAATGTAGTAGCAGATAATAGGTGTGTCCGCAGATTAAATGTCATTTGTTTCATCAATGTCATTCATTCACGCTAACGATTTATTAATTATTTTTTATTTCATTTAATAAACATATCTTTCTGACAACCAAGATCCAATAGGAAAGTTCCACAACTAATTAATAAATATAGATATATATATATATTTTTTTTTTTTAAATGCTTTATTTTGATAGACACTTTCTGAGAGAATATCCCAATAGCATAGTAAAGTTTAAACATATGAATATGTATTTTATGAAACTAATAAGACTTAAAATTATTATAAGATCTAATAAGTTGCCTTAGATTTCATTTTCTTCTGTTGACATTCTCGAGAGCATCCATTAGCTCCAAAACTATTTGTTGAGGAATCCGAAAGACTTGAAGGCATAGTGGAAAACAAATTTAAATTAACGATTTATAAAACATTATGTGATACGAACATGGATCTGAACACAATAAGACGCATTTCTAATCTCAAATTTCCTTACTGGAAGAAATGCAGACTGTCTGTAGACATATCGATGCCTGGATATTCCAAAGATTACCCATTAGAAATCCAAAATTATTTCTTTCGATTACTAGAAAGGTACAAAAGTTATAAAGTCATTTCCACCGACTCCTCCAAAGTAGAAAATAGTCTTGGTTGCGCTATCCACGCAACCGAAAACCAGCTATAGCTACTATTCAACTTACCACGAGAGTGTTATTCACTGGAGACGCGATTGCGATAATGAAGGCCCTCTGTTGGATATCAAAATCCAAGACAGTAAAAAAAATGGATCATAGCAACAGACTCCAAAAGCGTTATGGCCAAGCAACTCTCTCATTAGAGAAATATTAAACGTATAGTGGTAGATGAGAAAAATGCCATCCCTTAGTGGTATATTGGGCAATGAAAAATCAGACCAAGCTGCTTATTTGGCGAGGAAGGGAGAGGTATTAGACATAACACCAATAAATTACGTCACCGTTGAAGATTGGATACACGAAACAAAAGAAAAGCTATTAGAAAATTGGGAAGGCCAATGGAAGATAAAACAAATCAAATTATCAGAAATAAAAACCGAGTGCAAAACATGGTCTACAAGCTGCAGAAAATCGAGAAGGGAAGAAATAATATTGTGCCGAGTACGAATTGGACACTTTTTCTTTTTACACACAGATACCTTCTTGAGGTCTGGAAGCGCCCATGCCAAAAGTGTGACAACACACCTCAGGCAGTTAAACACTTATTACTAGAGTGTCCCCAATTCGAAAAAAAAGAGACAAAAATTAAAGTTGTCCACGACATTGAAGGATATTTTGCGAGATAGAGAGGAAGATGTTCTCATTCTCTTCTAATATTCAATCAAAACAAAATATTAAATCAGTATATAAAAATTAAGAATTACCTCCAATGTCCCTCTAGGGTAGAGCCGTATAAAAATAATAATAATTATGATGAAATAGAAAAGGAAGCACGTTATAACATACAATGAAAATATTAGAAATAAAAGGCTTAAATTATTGTTGGGTTTATTTTAACCTAGAAAAGTTAAAAATATATTTTGTTTACAAATCGACAATAAGAATAATTATTATTATATAATAATATAAATTCACAATAAGGCACAATGTATAATATAGATTTTTAAAGAAATTAAAAATTTGTCCAAACTGTAGTTTCCTTTAGTTTATTTTATGTTGATAAAAGATAATACAACACGAACCACAGAATATATCTAAATTAAAGTTATACAATTCGAGCAAGGAGCAGTATAATTTTTTTTATTTTAAACTTTTATTATGATATTTACAACTGTATTAGTATCAATACATCAAGTAAATTTGTACAGAGAAATATTATTACATGAAACACGCTTGTTGAGAAACTACCCACTGGTAGCACTCTAATAATTTGTCTACATGAGAAGATCACGAGGCCATTTTCTTTTCAGACGCCTCGGAGGGTTATCAGGAATCGAAGAGGAAGCAAGGTTAGAAACAAGAGGATTTGGATGGTTATGAAGTTTATTATGGAAGGATAGGTATCTGGATTTGGCCAAATCGGAAACATATGGAACATTGAGGTCTTTATGGATTATTTTATTAGTGACAAAGTAAGGAGCATTGAGGATTTTACGAAGGATTTTGGATTGTAAGGATTGGATGCGAGAGGAATTCGATGGTTTAGTGGAGCCCCATAGCTCAACTCCGTAAGTCCAAATAGGTCTTATTATAGTCAAGTATATGAGTCTTTTGTAATTAAGGGGAAGTTTAGAGCGTTTGTCTAGTAAGTGTTGGAGTAGTCGGAAACGTCGAGCGGTTTCTTGTCGTTTCAGTCTGGTATGAGGATTCCAAGTTAGACGTTTGTCCAAATGAAGTCCAAGGTATCGGATTTGTTCAACAGGGATAAGTGGGGTATTATTGAAGGATACTGTGGGACATGAGGTCATAGGTTTACGTCGAAGGGTAAAGGTGATTTGATGGGATTTATTAGAATTTATTTTAATCCTCCAGTTTTGACACCATTCTTCAAGGCTTTTGATGTGTGATTGAAGAGTTTGGGATGCAATGGTTGGGTCATTATTAACGGATAGGACACATGTATCATCGGCATACGTGGTAATAACAGTGTTAGGATGGGTTGGGATGTCAGCTGTATAAACTGTGTAAAGGATAGGACCAAGGATACTACCTTGAGGAACTCCGGCAGATTGAGAAAAGAGGGATGAATAGGTATTATTGTGATTTACTTTGAAGTGCCTATCAGTAAGATAGGAACTGATGATAAGAAAATATGTAGGGGGAAGGAATTTACGGAGTTTGTAAAGCAATCCCGGATGCCAGACTCGATCAAACGCCTGTTCAACGTCGAGAAAAACTCCAGTGCAATACATTCCGCGCTCCAATGCAGAGGAGACTACGTCTACCACACGATGACATTGCTGGATAGTGGAATGGGATGTGCGGAATCCAAATTGGTGATCAGGGATTATGTGGTTAGAATCTAGGATGGGATACAGGCGTTTTAAGATGAGCTTCTCCAGGATTTTGCCCATGATGGGTAAAAGAGAGATAGGACGGTAAGAGGATGGGTATTCTGGTGGCTTTTTGGGTTTATGTATCATTTTGACTACAGATAGTTTCCAAGGGTCAGGAAAATATGTGGAACGGAGTACGGCGTTATAAATGTAAGTAAGGAATAGAATGGCTTTTCGAGGAAGTAGCTTAAGAATGTGGGAAGTGATTAGGTCGTGGCCAGGAGCTTTGCGGGAGGGTAATCTTTGAATAATATTGGATATTTCTGAAGGATGAAATGCTTTAGGAGGAGGAGTCATTTGAAGTGGAATATCCAGTTCTGTTTCAATACATTCAAGCTGATTTGGATTAAGGATATCAGGATGTGGATTAAAAGTTTTGAAGAGGTGATGAGCAAAAATTTGGGATTTTTCTTCATCAGATTTGGACCAAGTTTGATCTTCAGTAAGAAGTGGATGATTAAAGTCTTTGAATTTCAGGAGCCGTTTAGTCGTCGTCCACAATGATTTGTCGGTAGGTGTAAGTTTTTCAGTAAAATTTAGTAAATTTTGAATTTTATATTTTCTAATTTCTGATTTTAGTTTGTTAGTCAGTTGGGTATAATGAGTTTTATCTGTTGGATATCTAGTTCTATGCCACTTCGATCTTGCTCTGCGTTTTTCCTGTAATAAGATACGAATATGCTGTGGCAAGTTAGTCTTTTGTAAATTGTTAATCTTACTGTTAAAGGTGTTACTGTTTATACTGTCTGTTATTGATGTTGTAAGTTTATCTATGGCACCATTAATGTCTTCTTTTGTCTTGAGCGGAATTTTCAAGTCAAGTTTGTTTTCCAAGTCATCACGAAAGTTGTCCCAGTGTACTCGTCCTGTAATCAATTTAGGAGATGATGGTTTAGGAGCATAGCTTGAATGTAGTGAAAGCAGCACTGGACTATGGTCTGAAGAAAGGTCATCGAGTGATTTGATTAAGGCTTGTGAGAAGGAAATCTGGGAGGTGATAAATATATCTAGGATATCGGGACGTTTTTTGAGTGATGTTGGCCAATAAGTAGGACTCATGGGCGAGAGGATTGAATAACTGTTGGAAGATGAGATACGTGAAAGGATGTTACCGCGGGAGTTGGATGTTCGACAACCCCATCGTTGGTGTTTAGCATTGTAGTCTCCTCCAGCAATAAAGCGCGATCCGAGGGATTGAAATAAGGATTCAAGGAGGTTATAGGAGATGGAATTACCAGGAGGACAGTATACAGCTGAGAATGTGAGATGGAAAGGGCGAGTTGAAAGGACTATAGAAGTTGATTGAATGGCATCAGTTGGAGTGGAAGGAATAAGGGAGTGGGATAAAGATTTATGGATAAGGATGCAGGAACCAGCGTGGGAAGTGTTATCTGGGTGGTCAGATCTGTAAGTGATGTAGTCATGTATGTAGAAATGTGTCCGTTGAGTGAAGTGAGTTTCCGTCAGGAGGGCAATGTCAATGAGATTGTCATGGAGAAATAAGTCTAGTTCGTCTCGGTGGTTGAGTAATCCATTAGCGTTCCATAAAAGGATAGCTAGGGGCTTTGTATTCATCGGGGGAAGTTGAACGGGATTTCGGAAAGGAGTCTGGTGAGGAGGGTAATAAGCGGTTTGATAGTCTCTTGAAGATCTATCAGGAATGTTGAAAGGACAGAATTGATGTCGGAAGGTTTTTGGCTGTGAAGTGGATTTAGGTCAGGAGGATGTGATGGGTAATTTGTGCGACTAGGATTGCTGGAAGGGGGATGTGCCCGACGTGGGATGCGAGGAGTTGGATCTATATTCTGTTGGGCTTGTGATGGGATGTTTACATTGGGATTAGGAACGGATGGAACTGGGGGTGGATGCTCTGGCGGGAGTTTGACCCTTAAGGGTAGTTGGTGAAGAGGGATTTGCGGACGAGGAGGTTGAGGCTGAGGTTTAGCAGTTTTAGGCTTGGATTGGGAAGCCTGAGGCGCCTGTCGTCGAGGCTGCTGGTTCTTGATGGTGGTTTGGAGATATAAATTTCTCGAACCCTGTTGAGGATAGTCCGTAGCTGTGGAGATGGATGGTTGAGGCTGGATGACTTGAGAAGGTGACGACGGCAGTGCTGGGAAATTTGTTCTATCATCGATTGCGGGAGCCTCAGTCCCACTTTTATGATCAAGGTTAAGGCTTTTCAAAGCCATATTATGTGATCTCAGCTTCAGAAGATTTTTATAAACTACGCAACCTCTGTAGCTCGCTGGGTGTCCCTCGCCACAAAGTGCACATATAGCAGCCTCTTGCCTTGGTTTCTGGCAAAGATCAGACGGATGTGCCCCAGCACATTTGACGCATCTGGCCTGATGATGGCAGTAGGCTTTTGTGTGTCCCAAATTTTGACAGTTAGTGCATTGCACTACTATAGGTCTTTGTCTGGGCTCTTCAAAACGGACTATTGAATATAAAAGACGTTTTACGTTAAAAATTTCCGGGTTGTTTTTTGCAGGTTCGAGATCTATGAAAAATAGCGGTAGCGGGTATTTTTCCTTAGGATGAAGCACGGTAGCTATGTTCCTTACGCTATGGCCTATTTCTTCCAATCCCATTTTGATTGCGCTTATAGAAGTAGTTGGATGAAGCCCTCTTAATACGACTCTGTATGCTTTTTCCTGTCTCAGTTGGTAACAATGGAAATCGTATTTTCGTGAAGTAAAATGTTCAATTAATATTTTGTAATTTTCTTTAGAGTTGGTATTTATTTTAATATCATTGACTCTGGAAAAACATGTAAAATTTGGCTGCCCAATCAGATCGGCGATTTCTTGTCCGAAGGACATAAAATTTTCAATTTTTGCGACGAAGATGGGTGGCGGTTCAAGATCACAAGTTTCTTTTGGCTCCAGAATCTTGTTTGTAGTATTGTTGGCTGTAACAGAGTTACTGATTGAGGTGTTTGGTGAAATTGATTCTGATTTGATGGCTGAAGTGATTTTGCTACGCGTGTTTGGTGTATTTTTGTTTGTTTCAGATGCCTTTTTTGATTTGGCCGATTTATTTTTTTTCTTATTTGGTGAGTTGCCCGCTGAACCGGGGGCAGAGTTTCGATTGCGCTTTTGAAGAGTCCTTCTTTTTAAATATTGTGAATCGGTCTCACTGACTTCGGAAAATGGTGTCTCTTCCTCCGATTCTTCACCAGACGTATTGTCAGGTTCCATAATGAGAGAAAAAAAAAAAAATCTGTACCTGTTATAACAGCAGTATAATTAAATGAATAGCTGTATAATTTGTAAAATGTGGTTGGTCCACCTCTAGGCGTACTGAGGTACGCTCCTAGTATGATGTAAAAATATATTTTCAATATCTATACAATACATTTTAAATGTGTATATTTTTAAAGATTCTAGCTAAGTAACTAAATAATCACTGAGGGTAGTACCAATCCCAACGGCCATTTATTTCCAATCAATTCGCTTTAAAAGCTATGGGATTTTGGAAAAATGAAGAATTCTTTAGACCTCCTCATGTCCTCCAGGCTTCCATATAGTTTCCTTTCCACTTCAGTTGAATAGGGCCAGATCATCCTCCTTTGCTGGGAGTAGACGCTGCATCAGTAAGGAGCACAGATAACTTCTTGCTCTGCCCGATAATTCGAAAAAGTGATCCCCGTCGGAACAGCCTTCTCAATAATATTCTCCGCAGGAAATTGGAAATGGATACCGGTCCCACCGTTCGTAGTTGCATTTGTGGCCGATCCGTCCCTATGTATGCGAGTCCACTAGTCTTTCGGGTACTACTTATTTATATGTTGAAGCGAAAGAGATTTCAAGATTTCCTGAGAAATATTCTGCTTGCTTTTGATACTAGAAATGAACGGAATAATTTGTGGTTTCGGAGATTCAAACCAGGGAGGTTTTTCTTCTACTAATGTTGACCGTTCTACAGACACTTGCTTTTCATATATTTAAGAAACCAGTTTCGTAGTTCTGTGAAGTATGCTTTGCTGTTTATATTCATCTCTTTCACCCTTTTTTGAAAGGGGTGATTTGGAACGGACTTTGCTTTTGCATCTAGGTGCAGGAGTTTCACATTTCTTGTGTCTTCTATTTAAGGGAGCTTCGAAATTGACTCTTTTTTTTCAATAGGCGTTGACTTCATTGCCCCTGTTATAATTCTTAGCCCCAGGTTTTGCATAGTTGAGATCCTCTGGAGATTCGAGGCTGCAGCATTCCCCCCAGCTGGTAATTCCATACTCCAAGGTATCCTAATGTATTCAGTATATAATTAATGAACTTGAAGTGTTGTTACATCTGCGCCCCATTAGTGCCGGCTATTTTCCTCATAAGGGCAGTTCTTGTCATTCACTTATGAATAGACTGCTCGATATGGGGTTTCCACGTAAGTCTTTGGTCAAACTTAATACCAAAGTAAGTTGAGGTTTCATCCTTGGCAATATTTTCCTGATTAAGATTTAGGTTAAGGGCAACCGATATGTTTGTTGAGATGAAAAAGATTGAATATTTAGTCTTGGACCGATTAATAATCATGACCCATTTTTCGGTCCACTGACGAGAGCCATTTGCATTAGATTCTTTGCTGTGAGAATGGAAGATAATCTACTCCAAAGGACGATGTCGTCTGCGAATAGAGACGCTTTGACGTTATTTGGTAAGTCTTGAATAATATCGTTTATAAATATTAGAAAAAGCAGTGGAGAAAGTACTTCTCCTCGAGGCACGCCGTTTTAAAATTTTCTTGCCCGGTTTCATCTATTACCTGAGATAACTCTGGCTTTCCGATCCTTCAGATACTCATTAAGCTATATGAGGGCTTTCCCATTGATACCCATGTAGATGTCTACTCTTGGGCCTATCCAACTCATACTGTCTTAGGACCCATGGGAGTACTGGTGAGGCTGCTGCCCCTCACCAGAGATGTATTTTATGACCTCCCGGTCGAGATCCGCCGTGTTTGGTATAAGCAAGGCCATCTCGAGCAGGATGCGACATAAATCGCGAACGGACGGACTTGGGAAGAGAGAAGGTTTCGGTTCTTATCCTCGACACTTCGGTTGGAGAAGGGGGATGACCCATACTCCAAATCAATCCTAGATAAGAGTACTGCCTCTCCCCAACCCCTTGGCCACCAAGCTAACGGACATTTATTGTACTTTGGCCAACTAACGCTCTACAGCAAACTAATAATTAAAACCAGTGAGCAAAATAAGTTTCGTAAGTACATATATAAAAAAAAAACAAAAAAAAAAAACAGAATTAACTACCACTTTGATGTAAAGATTACCCAGAAAGAAGACATGAATGCCATTCCAAACGCAACCATCATGAGTACTAAGTATATGTACAGAGTTGCATATTGACCTGAAATGATTAAGAATACATTTATTAATGAAGCATACTGTAATAATATGTATATACCATTTATATATCTATCTATGTAGTAAGTTATTTATATTAGTTAGTATATTAAAAGGAAATGTTAGATTATCTTACATATCTGCACTTTGGATTCCATTGAGTTCGGGGCGTATAAATTAAAAAAGAATGTAATGGCCATCACCGTCTGAAATAGTAATATTCATAATTAGTGTTTATGCAACAATTTATGTTTCCATATGCATTGTATGACAAATTGTATCGTTGGTTTAAAGGAAAGCGTTAACAATTGCATTTTTGATATAAGTTAGTTACCTTTCAAATACGTTTTAATGAATTTCTACTTTATTTGTCGATACAAAACTACTGTAAAAGCATGAAAACGACGCATAAACTTTTATTCAGGGAATAAAAGTTTATTCAGGGAACTCTGGGGGATGATTCTAGCAAAATTTTAACATAAAATTCATTTGATGCATGGGCCAATTCCGAACAGAAAAGAACTTATGATGATCAAATTTGTTTCTACCCTAAGACGGTCAAGTTTTTATTGAATAAGAAAAAATTGATCAAAAAAGATTCAAGTTAATTAAATTCTAAGAACACCTTCCTGAAGTAATTTTTTTTTTTTAAAGAAAACAGTGATTGAATTTTCTAAGTCAATGATAATATGAACTTTCAGGAGGTGGGATACGACCGCCATACTCCGCGTACAGAGATACGCTGTGCCTGGATGGGTACTGTAACAGCAGCAGTACAACGGTCGTATTAGACCTGAAAGTTGCTTTATCACTGACCTTATGTACTAAACGTGAATCTTTCTTGACGCTGAAAAAACGTTTGATAGAATCTTGCACTCGGAACTGTAGTCAATGCAACAAACTCCGTAAATCCCTACGACCTATATCCTTCCTCATTATCCGTTCCTATCTTACTGATAGATACTTCAAAGTAAAAAAAACAAAAAAATAATGCCTGTTCATCACTTTTTTCTCAGTCTGCTGGTTTATAAGGTAGTATCCTAGGTCCTATCTTTTATACAGTCTATACAGCTGACATCCCAACACTGTCATCACAACCTATGCCGATGACTTATATGTCCTATCAGTTAATAACGACCCATCAATTGCATCCTAAACTTTTTAATAACACATCACAAATCTTGAAGAATAGTGTCAAACCTGATGAATCAAAATAAATGTCAATAAATCCTACCAAATTACCTAACTTGACACACTCTCTTAACTCCAAATTAACTACAAAAGACTCATGTTTGGACTTACGGGATCGAGCTTTGGGGCTCTACTAAAACGTCAAATTCCTCTTGTTCAATCCAAAATCCTTCGTAAAATCCTCAATGCTCCTTATTTTGTCACAAATAAAATCATCCATAACGATCTTAATGTTCCATATGTTCCCGATTTGGCCCAACCTAGATACCTATCTTTCCACAATAAACTTGACCATCTTAAGGAAGACACAATTTTTTTGTTGGTGAGACGCTGATTCTTCAACTTTCTGCTCTTTAATTTAGAATGTGTTAACTCATAACTTTTGCAAATTGCCAGAGCTTTCTTCAACTTCAAGTCAGCCTCTTGTAGAAGACGTTCCTTCAATTAGCAGTCAATCAATCCGACTATCAACATATCCCTGACCAGACCTTCCCTCAGCGTGTCTAACTCACAGGAAAAAGTAAAGTTTTTAAGGTCCGTTAAAAAATCGCCAATAGGCTCCCCAGGTTTCTGGCGTCGACTGAGAAATCTGTGTCTCTCTACAGTTATGGGTATATTATTTTTTGGAGTGAAATGAGTGTTTAATTTTTTAACCAAAACAGCACATGTAACATAGTCTTTTCTTACATTAAATGAATTGAAAAAAACCCTACCTTGTTTGCCAATTAAAGGCAACCATTCTGTTTTCACTTGCTTCGTCCTGATCTGCCGCCACCAAGTACAACTTGAACGCTTTGTACCATTCTGCCCATGCCTTTGCTAGATTAGCGGAATTGCCTTCCACGTCGTGTGGTTCAATATTATGATTAAAACTACCATAAATTGCCATTATTGCCTCAAACTTGGTAGAAGTGTTTAACGCATAGTTTAGAAACGAATCCTCCAGAAACGATGACAAACCAACGCCAGAATCTGGCTGAATATATGAGTTTACATCAGACGTCTAGAATCAGTTTCGGTCCTTTCGCAGATACGTTCACTGTTTACCTGATGTTAGGTTCTTTTAATGCTCGCGATTTTTACTTATAACTCCATGTTGTAAAGTTAATAAATGAACTGACATAAAGAAAAGTGTTTTATATAACTCCAAGCAATAATTATAAAAACTGAGAGGTTATAACATATTAAATTTAGACAGTGAATTTGCCAATGAATATTCTAATACATATAATATAATTATTAAATTCCAATGAAATATTATTGATTAATTATAATACAACAACCTTTAGCTACGATATGTTAGAATAACTTTAAATATTATATTTAAAGAATATAGCCATGTCGTATATCAAAAGAAAGAGCATAAACAACCGAAACATATGACACCGGGTTCAACTTCAGGTCAAATAGTTCTTGAAAACGCACCATTTTTCGAGGTTTCTTATTATTGAGAAAAAATGTATAACTCAAAAACCGTACGAACAAATAATCGAAAATTCTGCATTTTTCTTTATATTAATGCATTCAACGAGCAACCAAAAAATTATCAAAATCCAAGACCCTCTGGGTCAGACCATGGTTGATTTGACCTGACAACTAATGGTTGCTCTATTGAAAAAAAGATAAAACGGTTCCATTACTCTTTCTTAAAATAGTACTATTAGTTAAAACTGCCTCAAATAATTTGTTCTCATTTCAGCTTGAAGTATTACTTACAAAACCAATTGTGGAGGTGGCCACCACTCCAGCCTGTAACGAAAATACAAAACAGAAATCATTGAAACTTAGGGGCATGAAGAACTCTTGTAACTGCTATGCATTGGGTGATTTTGAAATACTCCAATGGTTTACATTAAAGTTTCACCATTAAACACTTTAGCGAACAATTTTATATCACTTATAACCTGATTCCATGACCTCATCACTATCTATAACCTTACATATGGTTCTCAGATAACGACATTACATGGCCTGATTTCTCGGCCTGTCAACGAAATCCCATGTTGAAGGTTTTTGTTTTACAGATCAAATTATTGGTTTCATTATTTCTATGCAAACATTGCATGGTGCTGAGTAATTTACTTTACTGACAATACCTATTGCAAATTTAAAAACAAGTGAATTGTACGTTAATTGAGACAAAAGGTTATAAAACAAACTCTAAAGAAGGTTGAAAAAGGTGAGTTTTCCTTAAGTTAACCGTTAAGGTAACTCAGTAGGGCTATGGAAATGTAAACTCTCTATCGAGTAACTGTTCCAGAAAAATCAGCCCAGCTTTTATATTTCATTAACTTAAAATTCTTAAATGGTTGTTTCCATGGAAATCGTCCCAGGTTGATTTTGAAAATTCCACGTATTTTTTAAAGGATAAAAAGGGTTCAAGGAAGAAACTTCTTTATTCTACTGCACTTATTACAAGAAATAATTAGTTTATAACTCTCAAATCCATAATTTGTATTAAAAAATAACCTACTTCCTTCCTGCTAATGAACCTGCATCATCCCCTTAAGATCATCCAAAATTCTCCAGTATTTGACTCCCTTTTAGCAGCATCTTGAAATATTCTGTTCATCTGTCTATTATACATTCGTTTAGCCATATAATGGATACTGGTCCTTTTTTTCTTTTTCCAATATTTTGGCATTTCTTTAATAGTTCGCTTAATGTATTTTTCCAATTTTTGTGTTCAATTTCGCGCTTTCCCTCATTTTGACACCAAATCCAAACAATCAGTTCCGGTTACTAGAAGAACTTATAGTTTTGCCTTTTCCATCTTTATTTGTACAGAGGGAATAATGCATTCAATATTAAAATTTCCTATTTTTTTTATGATATGATCCAACTTCCGAACTATTTTAATTTGCAATTTCATAACAATAAATTTTACTAAACAACCCAGCAACTATTCATTATTATATGTAGTTCAGATTAGGTATATGTTATTTTAGTTTATAAAACAGGTAATGATATGACTAATTTCCTGGAAAGTATATACAATTTAAATTATCTATAATATTAATTTCCAAAATACGTTGGTAACATTTTTAGTATATATCATATTTTATTTGATTTTAGTATAACTAGCGCAGGAGGTTACAGGAGCTCTGTAATTAGCCACTGCTGTTAATTTAATAACGCATGTGTTGATCTCCTTTTACTTAATACTCTGCCAATACAAAATAAAGATTTTAGACTGAAAATTTGTACGGGAAATGGTATTCATTGATCTGGGGGTGGTGATAGTTTGATTTTACCTAGGTGATTCATTTATTTTTCAACTGGACATTTCCCTTTCATTACAATATATTAATTATTATATTATATATAATATTATTTACATTATATGATGATATAATTATAATTATTATGAAATAGAAAAGGAAGCACAATATAACGAATAATGAAAATAGAAACAAAAGCCTTAAATTATTGTTGGGCTTAAATGAAGCTGGACAAGTTGAATATATGTTATGGTTACAAATTGGCAATAACAATAATTATAATTATATAATAACATAAATTGGCAATAAGGCGCGATTTATAATATAAATTTTTAGAGAAACTAGAAATTTGTCTGAACTGTAGTTTTAGTTTATTTTATGTTGATAAAAGATAATACAATCTGAACTACAGAATACATGTAAATTATAGTTATACAATTTGAAATACTAGTAGTACAATCAATGAACAGTTGTATTATTTGTAAAATGGGGATTGGTCTGCTGTTAGGCTTACAGTAGTTACCCCCCTAGTCTTATTGAACATGTTACACTTAGTGTGAGCTTTTTTCTGTATATAATAGGATTCGTGTAAATTTGAATCACTTACCGTGTGTTCACATCGATAAATAAGGTCGAAATTCACTTAAACGTACTTAAACGTTTAGCTTCAATAAAAATCTACTTACATTAGTGACTTCTAATGAACTGACAATATACTTTATCCCATAAAACTTTAAAATTAATCATTATTTTAAAACTTCGTTAGTTCATTTCTACTTCGAAACCAAAAATTTCTTTCTTTATTCTTTTTAATTAAAATTTAATATTTGCTTTATTAAAAGTAATATTTCGTAACAATAAATAGAACGTAATCGATGTTATTTAATTAGGTAAGTTATACAAAAAAATATTTTTTGTAATTTGTAGCTTTTATTAGATTCCATAATATTTACTTAGGTATACAGTTACTTCTTACACCAACAGATGGCGGTCCGATCGCGTATAGTTTATTAATTATCATTCTTACTAACCTCCTATATTTTATATATGTAGATTACTAAATTGATAAAAAAACATTTATATTAATTAAGAACATAAGGCGTACAAGTAAATCTATAAGTTAATAACTAAAATATATTTTCATAATAGTTAAAAAGACTTTGAAATAATTATATTAATTAAGTTTGTATGTTAATAATTACCTGAATGAAATAATTAATTAATTAATTAATGCTACTTATTTTTAATTCAATTATTAGTATGCCTGTACTAAAAATTATCTCAAAACATTGTGTGGGTTTTCAAACTATTGAACCCAATTGGATTTAATTTCTTCAAAAACTTTGATAAACAGATATTTTTTTATTTAAATTCTTTTATTAGATTATTCGCTTCAATTTGTTGGTTTGTTTTGCCTTAAAAGACTTAAAACCTTCAGTCTATTAACACCTTTACGTTTAGTCCGTGAAACGGACTATTTTATTAAATTATTAATATTCGCCTTAAACTTCATGAATAGCTTCATCTCATCGTGACCTACAAATATTTTATTTATAAAAACTCTTGAAATTGAGGCGTTTTCAATCTGGAGATCGGCAAAGTTCGTCTATTTAATTAGGTACTAAAAACTAGTAAATACCCATTTGCTTTCCTCTTGGATTGTAAAATAATTTCATCACAAAATTAGTAAAAGGGTGGCATACAAAAGTATTGGGCAATTTGGCCTTTATAACCTCGTTATTTTGAAATTTTGGGGTGTACATCAAGCCAATCGGTCCAATATTTTTGTAGACCTCCTTTTTCCTCGGTTTTGTGTTCAAACTATCTTACTATTCAAGTGGAAAGCAAATGAGTACTTACGAGTTTTGAGTGCCCAATTAAATATACAAAGTTTGCCTATCTCCGGATTGATTTCTAGAATTTTCGTAAATAAAATAGTTATAGGTTAAGATGAGAAAAAACTATTTACAAGTTTCATGTTAATAATTTGATAAATACTGGTCTGTACCACAGACTATAAAGTTTTCTGTACCTGTAATTAAAAAAAAAAAATATGATTTTGATCGGTTTTATTTATCAGGTAATGTTGGACTTATTTCTCAAGTAGTTATTTATTTATTTATTTTTTTTTTTACAAAAATAAATTTAATGTTGTAGTTGGAACAAGAGATATAATCGCGACCAAGATAGGCTTTAATAAGTAGTGTAATGTAATAAAAGGAAGCCGACATGAAAAGAGAAAAGTTAATCTGAAATTTACGAACCGGCTCAGGCATAATTGGCCGAAATGATTGAATACATATTATTAGTGACGATAATGATCAAATGATGTCCGTTTCATTTTATCTGCTGAGGACTTCATTAGGAACCGAAGATAAGTCTTATCCGGTCCAGCCACTTTTTCGATGTGGATGAAACAACTGATTCCGATGCTATTAGGCCTATTATTTATGAGAAAGTATATAAAAATATTGTCCGTGTTTTAATAAATATATTCTTGTAGTAGTATTGCGTAGGTGAATTACAATACCTTAAATTGCAAAATTACTTGGAAACGTTAACTGTAAACTATTAAAATGGCAATGCAACCTTATTCGTAAAAAGATTTCAATTGCTATTAACCTAATTGACAACCAAGCAATGTTTCTCTTAAAATAATATCAGTAATAATAATATACTTAAAATAATAGAGTTGCGGTCAACAATTACACGATATCATGGTGTAATATTTATTTATATGTTTATTCGACGGCCCTGGTTACTAATGTCCTTTCTATGATATATTATAAAGTTCTATGATTTTTAGTTGTTATGACCTTAATCCAGTCAATGAGTAATTATTATCAGATGATAATATTTATTTCAAAATATATTACCTAAAATACACTTATGAAATGTTGATTTTTATAAGGTGCAGTAGTGGATTCAGGATTTAATTTTGGGGGGCTTCAGCCCGAAATCTATTTTATATAATATATATTGAATATTGATATATATATATTGAATATTGAATAGCTGACCGTTGCATTATATTCACATTTGTATATATTATATATTACACTACAACAATTGTTACCATCTATTTACTTCAGTTTAGGATCTTGTTACTTAGCTTACTCTGTTTATATTTCAATGTACTTACTGTTTATATTTTTGATAAGCTTATTCCCATTGTTTATAATTTTTTGTCTAAATATTATGTAACTTCCAAAATTCTCTATATCTGTTTGTATCTTGTCCGTTTTAGCCCTGAAGAAGACCTGCAATGTCGGGTCGAAACGTTGGCTTTTAATAAAATAGTTTTACCGCTATTTATGACCGCCACCCCGGACCATCTCCTTCCTTTATTATATATATATAATGATAATTACTTAAGAAGAAAAATAATGAAAGAAACTACCTATATGAAATAGGGTTTAAGTGATTCTTGAAGTCTAATTAAAACACAGTAAAAGTCAGGAAAAAAAAGAGGACGCAAAATCCGTCCAAGGTGACAGACTTTGAATTTGACCTGAGACAGTTTTTTGTTCTCTGCCATTCAGCATTTGTTTTTATTACGTCATAATCGATCTAATATCAAAGCTGAATAGTCGTTGTATCATAAAATATAATTGACTTAGAAACTATAAAACATAAATAATATTTTTTTTCAATTCGTTTACATAAAAGTTTAAACTGGTTATGAGCTGATCCAACTCTTTCGACTGGGTAAGTGATCAATGATTTGGGATAAAAGAGTTGTATGAATATGGACTCAGTAATATGAATCTTTTGAACTCCGAGATATTCTTAAAGAATGAGATATATTCTAAGCAGGCGTGCCCTGAAGGGGGTTGTATAGTGCGAGTTGTGATACCAACATTTCGGGCACGTTTTTTTACGGGGTTATAAATCTTTAAGGGGAGCACATATTTACAGAGTTATGAATTTTTTGAGGGTATGGATATTTTTGAGAGGTTTC